ATCCGCGCCGGCGACTTTATCCCCCATCACGCTGCCTGGTGCTAGGCACCGCTGAGGGCGGAGGTAAAGGCCCCGCTGCCGTAGACAAGTTCTCCGCCTGCGGGGGCGGGGCGGGGCCCCAAAATTTTCTTCCAGAAGTCAGCCCTGCTTTGCCGGAAAACGGTGTTTTCTGGGATGTAGTTTTACCATAAAACACCGTAAAACACGGTGATTTGTAGCATGTGTCATGTTACAATCACATCCCCACACCCGGTCTCCAGATTTTCGGGTGGCCACAAAAATGGATTCGGGCTCAACATGGGTACCTTCTCACACTTTTACTGTGCCGTTAAAAACACAAAGCGTCGAGACCCCCCAACAAAACACCCAGGAACTGCTGCTTGTTTCCCACTAAAACCCCGGGGTTCAAACCAACATTGAAACAATGGCGGCCGTTTTTGGGCCCTTGACGTGTGTTGCAATGCTTGTTTGGGCTCTCTGGGCCCCGTCGGGACGTTTCTGGTTTCAGAAGAAGCCCGCGGGGCATGCGTGAAGCGCTAGGGCAAGCGTTTGTGTATATAAGATTGCCAAAGGCAAACGAGGGCAAACGGCCAACAAAAAAAAGCGTCTCTGCGTTCGGCCGGCTTCTTCACAACGGCCAAGCAACAGTGGGGAGAAAAAAGGCCACCGGCCCCAACAAGAGCGCCTGTTGGGCCGCAGGTAGGGAAAACGTTCTTCGAAAGCACCAGGTCTAGGAACTCGGAGAGTGAGTTCAGAAAGGTCAAGCAAACAAGTTGTTCGGTTCTACAAAAGATAGTGAAAAAAATGAAAAAACACAGGGGAAAAGGTTAAAACAATACGAACCGGTCCAAAAAAAAGGGGAAACATCCGCCATCATAGAAGAGCAACGGTGAGCAACGGCGCCCTTGTGGCCCATACCGCGAGCTGCTCGACTCGGTTTCAGAGCTGGTGCGTTTCTTCTCAAAGCGAATCACTGTCTGAGGCTCCGCACGCAAATTATCAAATTTGCCGTAACTTGCACAGATTCCTTTCCCGCAGTCGATTTCATCGCGAGGCCCACATGAGCCACAATCAAAACCCGGTGTTAAAATGGTCGACCCAGAAAACATGTACAGAATTAAGAAGGCGGCCCCATCTATTTTGGTTGGATTGTCCCTTAGTAACCTTCATCTACCCGGGTTTTGATAGTGGCTCATTCTCTTGCAGCAAGTGATTTTCACTGGCACCTCGTGGCACGTGTCTCCCTTTTGGATGCAAGTTGAGAGAAGCAAGGGGCACTTCGCATTTGCCTCATTCCGACGTTGTCACACAGGGATAATCCCAGCCAGAAATAGTTTCGGCCGCCGATAGAATTTCTTACATGGTGTTGGGTAATTAGGCCATTGGAATACTGTTTTGCTCCCAAAAGCAACCCAACGGGAGACACATGCCCAAACCATTTCCTAGGGTTCCTGCCCTCATGAAAAGAATGATTCACCCAATCAAGATGATGACAATCCTGAACGATAAACAATGGTTGACGTTGGAAGGGGAGCCAAAATTCAAGTTTTGGCGGTTCAGTGGGGATTTCAACCACTAAACCACAACACGCAAAAAGTTGTCAAATGTCTCCCAACAGCAACAATTTTGATGGTTTGAATCCCAGCACACCCCCAAACCAAGCTCAGTTGTTCAGTGACCCTGGAAAAAAAAGGGAACCCTTTTTTGGGAAGACCATTTTAGTGGAGGCCACCCAAAAAAATGAAAAAGGGAGCCACTGAACAACTGAGCGAGGTACCTGATCCAATTTTCCGCTCGCTTCACGCTTAGGGCGCCACATCCACCTCCAGCCAGGAGAGGACTCCTGTCAGCTCCCGACAGTCGGGTGGCTCGTCTGGTTTTTCTAGGAACCGGACTCCCACCCGAGAAAAAACAAAAAAAAAACAGAAAAAAACGACGTGGTTCTGCCGCTCTGCCTGCTGGCTTCGAATTCTTCAAAACCAACCAAACAATTGTGGTGTTCCTCTTGGTCCTTTCAATCCACAAAAGGCACCCTCCACAACAAGAGGGCGCCCCTTTTGCTGGCTGCTTCTGACGGGAAACCAAAAGGACAAGACACCCATTTTGCAGGTCCCCTCAAAATAGCCACACCCATATTGGCCCCTTCACCGCATCACCACACAGGAGCACGCACAAACCATGTTGGCCCAAAAGGGCAGTCCGGTTCTGAGAAAAGACAACTGTGGTCGAGCACCGCTTGTGCTCGCTTCCACCTACGTTTGCCTGTTGTGACGAAAAGGAATTCCTCATCCGGGTTGTTCAAAATGGATCCCCATCCGAATCAGGACGCCACAACAAAAGGGGAAAACCACCACTACTTGGACGGCATAAGGACTGAAGGATTGACACAATCAACACCTGGTATCCTGACTAACCTGGAACCTGAGCGAGGGCTCCTGAAAGACCAATGAGGTGCAATGTTTGTGGAAAGGAGCGCGGGGCGGACAAGGGACACCGTCGTATGATGGGAACGTGGTACCTTTTAGGACCGGTTTCAGGGACTTTTGCTGGAAACCCAGCTGGGAAAAACATTGCGTAGGGAACCCCTTAGGGAACGGTGTTGGGTCACCCTTCTTGGGACTCGGAGAAACCCAGCATCTAAAAAGGGCATCAAACCATCTAAAAAGGGCATCAAGAAAACCATCTAGAATGGTCTGCCTCAAAATAGGAATCTTACAATTGCCTAAGGTTTTGCCCTTCCTCCAACTAACATGGCACCTGTGGGGAGGTACCTGGAAGATGAGTTCTCTTTTAAAAAAAAGCCCCTGTCAGTTGCCATGTTAGTGGGAAGGAGGGTAGATTCTAAAACCTTCTTAAGATTCCTATTCTGAGGCAGACCCCTAAGTGGGGATCTCGGGATCCATCTCGCCATCTCTCGCCTGAGCCGCGCGGCGTGCCGGGTCTGGGTCTCAGCAGCAAACTCGCCTGGCGGCAGCTCGGGGTCTCTCCGATTTCCTTTTGTTGGTTCAGCGGATACGCCCCCCTGGAAAAAAGAGAACAAACGCCCAGCAGAAATGCCCGGACAAAAAGACGAGGACATTCTCCAGAAAAAAAGAAGAGAGGATTCCCTTAGTCGAATTTTGTTGGGCGGTTTCGCGAATGGTCATGTACAGCAGCTTTTGATGAATCCCCAAATGGGTTGGTTCTCCTGTCGGTTTCCTTTAAAACCAAGCCCAAAAGGCCACCGAGCCGCAACAAAAACACAAACCCAGTTTAAGTTTTCCGTGTTCGCTGATTCGAGACTGGATAAAGAGTGGATAAAGTAGGGGGCTCACTCCCACTGCCACTGATGCAAGACGCTCTACAACAGGATGCCCAAGCACCAGCAAAAACGTGGACCCGCCACTTGGGTTCTGACCCACTAGCGTTTTTTCCCCCCACTGAACGGGAGACTAATAAGTGGGTCATAACCTCGGTTACAAATAACTTACTAACTTGGCCGAACATCCAAGTAGGGCCCCAAATGAAAGATCAGAGCAAATTTGGCACGGTTTGGTGCTCCAAATATGGGTGGCTCGCTTTTTTCCCTATTTTCAGGCCCAAGAAGCGGGGGTTCCTTTTGGCTTCCCATAAAAAGAAGAGGCTGCCGAGCTTCACAACAAACGATACGTACCCATATGGCCCTGGGTCAAAACCAATGGGATCCCATGTTGGGATAGGTGAATTCACCACCCATTTTAGTCTTTGGGGCTTGGGATGTTCACTGGGGGTACGATTTGGATTTTGACTCATGGACATATTTCCCCCATAAGCATCAACCCACAAACTTTAGGAAGACGCTCAAGCCAAAGTTGCCCAAAAGGTGATGCGTATAAAAATCACGCTTCAAGGGGAAGCATAGGGAGCCCTGTGGTTCTGAATACGGACCACGGGGGTTGAGTGATTCTTCTTCGCAAGTGTGAGATACACCCTATGCAACACTTCCAAAAAAAGACACCAAATGAGATGCTTGGCAGAGTTCCGGAGATTCGGTTCCAGGGGGTTTCGGGGCAGTTGGGGGCCAGGGCAAGGGCCATCACCTGGCCTTGTCTTCCCAACTTTCTGATACCCTTTGCACCCCAACTAAAACTTCCACCTGCAGAAATTAAGATGGTGTTGTTTTCTGTTGGTTATGTTTCACACCGAAAAAGCTATACCCATGGGAAAAAAATGTTGGGGGCCGACCGGCATATGTTTATCGACCCACCCATTTGGGGTCACTCCCTACCACCTGCAGACCTCAGCTTCGCCTCCTCCAGCGCAGCGTCGAAGTCCCTCTTCAGCACCGCCGTGCCGGGCCTCAAGGGATCGGCCGGGGGTTTTTGGGCTCGGAAGCTACCCCATATAAGCAGGGATCCGGATGCATTATACACCTGAACATTGCCTTGTAAATGGTGGTGTCCCTTTATTTTGGTGGAAAAAGCCATGCTTCAAATTGGCAAAATGTATCTTTTAAGGAGCCCTGAAAAGGTTGACCCCCTAGTTTGGTGTGCTAAACCAACCAAAAACCCAGTGTGGAGGTTATGTTTGACTGCTATTGGGTTGGAGTTTTAGACTTGAACCTGCTAAAGTTGAAATCAAGGGGTTTGCCGTATCAAACCCACAAAACGTTAAACACTTTTTGCGGAGGGGTCAACGGCAACCAAGGTGTGGAAATAATGTTGACCCCATATAAAATCAACCAGCCAGTTGATTAATAGGGGGGTGGTTGGGGCCCCTCCAAAAGTGGTCTGATTGCCCACTAAACCCAGAAATGGACACCCCCCTATTCATAAACAGGGGTTGATGTGTTCAGGTTCTGCGAACCACATTTAGACTATATATGTCAACTGAAGCACCCGGAAATGGACGATTCCCCACCTTTTGCGACCTTGACTCACGGACAAAGGGCCCGAAAGGGGCCCGAAAAGAGAAACCCGAAAAGGGTTCAAGCCACCCTGGATTGAAGCCGTCCGCCAGTGTTCTCTCGTCACAAGGTCGGTGTCAAAGGAATTTCGTGGTGTGGGTGCCGCCTGGAGGGTCCAACAAGGGTCCAGAATTTCGACCAGCATGGAAACCGAACACTATGTGCATTGGTGGTTGGGAGGGTTTGGGGGACAGCAGTTTGTGGGTTCCAAATCCAATTTTGAGCCAAACGAATGCAAATGCGAAGAATTTGCGTAGAAGCTCTCACACCCTTGGGCCTTTCCCAATTTTTGAACGCCGCTCGCTTGAGCAACCACCCCAAGCTTAGTGGCCTTCTCAAAAGAAGCCGTGGCTTCCTGGCGTCGTCATTCAGAAGCCCACCAAACAGCTGGGTGTTTACGCAAAAAGTAGGAAGTCAAGTCAATCCCTATTGTCGGCTGTCCTCAGAAAGCTTAACCATACAAACCTAAAACCTAAGAAGATGGCTGGAAAATACCAAGAAAAGTATGGCGGACAAGTTGGCTGGTTGCGACGCTGACAGTGCTCGTGACAATTACAGGCGATGCTTGTCATGCAAGCGATGCGGGCAATAACTACGACAGTGATGCAACGATACATCACCTGTTTCCCTAATTACCTATCCTGGCAGCAAGAAACTGCCCCTCGGCCTAAGCTCTTGTGTTGAAGCTTGAAGCTTAGATGTCTCGAGTGGTATGACTGGCCCACTGCAGATTGGCACGCAAACGGCCTCCTACCGCACAGCCCCCCCCCTCAATGCATTCATGAACAAGGACTAGAGCTCCGGATTGTAAGTTGGGTGCGTCAAATAGGGGACACCTTAAATGCCAACGGTTCTTTTTGGTGTCCCAATTTAAGCCAACCCTTTGTCGGGGCTTCGCAAAGATACGCCCAGGTGGTATCCCCAACAGCTCCGGAATCCTCTGCAACCCCTGAAACCTGCACAAAAAGAAACGCTGATCGAGCCTATCTGGGCCTATCAACCCCCAAAACGCTTTTCACCTGTTGGGGCCAATCTGACAACGGTTCCTTTTGCTTCCCTTTAAACCCCCTTTCTTGGGTTAGCAAAAACATCCAAAAAACTGGCTGGTGCTCAGGGAAAAATAAATGGAACGAAAATTTAAAACCATCCAACTGGTGGCGTCCTTTAATTAGGGGAATGTTCATTCAACAACAAAAAACACGACCATCCAACTGGCGGTTTCCCTTAATTCAGGGAATCTCCTAAAAATACGGCGCTCATTCCAACTCATTCGCCTCAAAGGAATCCTCAAAACCGGTCTTTATGTCCAGATCCGAGTCGCAAAGAGGCCTCCTCCAGCAGATCTCTACACGGCAGCTCCTTACCGACGCGAGGTCGGGCCGAGTTGCTGGCCCCCTTGCGGGCTGGTTGGCCCCTGCAGCTGGCCCCCGACTGTGGTAAAAACATGGTAAAACCACGGGAATTTGGAGCAGGAAGGGGAGAAACCGAAAACAGCAACGCTCCCATCCCAAGACTCGAACCACGTGGTGTGGCTTCTCATCCGGGGCGAAATTTTGCAGAGTTTCCAATCCCAAGGATCGAACGAAAACTTTGTGGCTTTTCAGGATCCAGATGAATTCCTGGACCTTCCACTATTACATAAATGTGTGTCATCAGGAATTGACAGGTCTCTTTTCCAGCACGAAAGCAGTTGGGCAATACGGTGGCGCTCCTTCTTGGTTTCGCATTGCACCCGGAAAAGGGTGCTCTCAACAAAAAACACACACATCCATTTGGCACCATGTCGCAAAGGCGGAGTCTCCAAACTGTTTCACACGTTTTGCACCCACTGGCACAAACTCGACTAAATTTCAGCGGAAGTATGGAGTTGGGCTCGCTTTTGGGCTGTCTTAAAATCCGGAAACCCGTGTAGAGGGGTGTTCCTTTCGGAGTTTTTTTTTAAAAAAAAAAAAAAAAAAAAAAAAAAAAAACTATCACACCCAAACAGGGTACAAGCCTCGCAAAACAAAGGACAGATCTATTTCCGGACAGCCTCAAAATCGTCCCCTGAGGGTTTCCAGCAATGGTTTCCCTCAAAGCGGGTTTCCAGCAGAAGTTGCAGTTGCCCTTTTTAAACCAGCCCCGAATCGGGTCAAACCACTTTTCTTCTGGCCAAATGGCAGTGGGTCGAGAATAGGTGCCCGAAATGGGTTGCCCTGGCAACTGGAAACATGGGCTAAAACGCTAAAACCTGCGGCCCAATTCCTGGTGGTTTCATTTTGACCGATACCCAGAAGGTCCGAGCAATCAAACCCTTGAACCAAGTGAAGCCACGCGAGGTCTGGCTTTCGGCCAATGCGCCCTTTGGGCCGCGGCGGTGGTAGACACTGTGCTCTGGCTGGGACGACGGTCCCTGCCGAGGACGTGTGTGGGGAAAAAAACGGGGCCCGCGCAAGAAACGAAGACACGTGCTTCATACTTGGGTGTGTGTCTGTGAGCAAATATGTCAGTGTGTGGTTGTGGGTGTGCGTGCGTGTGCATGTTTTTTTGTTTTTTCTTGAGGGTACCCCCTTTTGCCTTGATTTAAACGGGCACCACGAGGATAACCGCCATTTTAGGGCCGAATTTTGACACCTACCCATTCGCCACTGTTGAAAAGGAAGGACCAATCGAAACCAAAACCCGAACTGCGAATCGGGCCTTCTGCCAGCTCATGACCAAAAATATTTGGTCGAAAAAAATGGCTGGTGCGATAGGGAGATAGGGGATACTTTCCGAGTCCGGGTATTGGGAATGAACCGGAAGGGGATTCCGGAATAAAGGAAAAACATATGGGATGGTTTATACAGATCATTCCCACATTCCCTGGGTTGCCCGATTTTGGTCTGCTTCTCTCCCCTGTGGACACCAGGGTATCCAGAAATCAGCTGAAGGCTAAGCAGACTGCAATCCCCACGATGTATCGCCCAATGGGCGGGGCGCCATTCTTTGCCCATCTCCATTGCCAAGTTCTACAATGCGGACTGAAGGATTTGTGAGTAAACCGTCTTCATCTTAGAAGGCTCGTTGTAAAGCCAACATCTCACTTGCTCAAAGGATCTGAAAGTACCAACTTGTATGTCCATAAAAGTAAAATAGTAGTGTTTCCAATGTTTAAATAACACGTAAAGCAATTACATCAGCTTAGACATAATATGAAATTAATCCATATATTAGATTATCAATCGATTAATTAGTTAGTATCAGTTTATCCGGACCAAAGCAGGACAACCAATTATGTCCCCTGGAACCAACAGTTCGAGAGGATGTCCCGTAGTGATAGATGTTCTTTCATTTGTTTGGGCGGGGGGCCCTTTCTTCATCGGTGCCCCACATTAAAACGAACAGGCAAAAACAAACTGTTAAACGAACGTGTACATATATATATATATATATTTATATTTATATACATGGTGTTGCTTGTTTACCTTATAGTTTAAGATAGTATGTCAGTATGTCCAGCAGTGATAAATTCCGTTTATAACCAACCCGGAAAACAACAAAAGCAAAAACCAACACTTCATTTCCGCATGTCTCACTTCCCGGGTGGATGATCCAAAACGTCCAGGAACTTTCTGGCCACAAAAATGGGCTTCCCTCGTGACATCTCGTGACTAAAGTCCGAAACGGAACCCGGGACATGAGGATCATGTCTACCCCCTACACCCAATACCCTCTTTTTTCAGGGTATCATGTCGACGCTCTTCTTAAAAAGGAGGTATTTACCATGGAAACCCAGGGTTTTCCGAAAAATACCCTAGAACAAATGGGTATTTGGAGTAGGGGGTAGCCCTGATTTATACTGGACACTGGGGTACAAACCTGGCTGCTCGGGGTGCCCCCCACTTTTGGTGGGGATGCTTCGCTTGTGCGGGCTCAACATCAACCGGGGTTTCGCGCCTGGAGCTCCTCTCATGGGCCTGGCACGAGCGTGAGACCCTGGGAACGGTTTTTGTTTGGGGAACCCAGGTCGGGCGATTTTTTGGTTTGAGGGCTTGCCCCTTTGGGCTCCTTAGACCTCAAATAAAAAATCGTACCTCAAAATATTCTTTCGCCCGGGGAAGCAAGGGAAAGCTCAAGTGCTCGCCAAACTTATTCGGTTTGGTTCCCTTGGGTCAATTGCCCCGGCACATGTAGGCGCTGAAGTCTCTTGCCCAGAACCCAACAAAATGTTTGGAAGCACTGGGGTCTTTTAAGGCCCAGACTACCTGGAGTCTCCCCTTTACCCTTAAAAAATGGGGTCATTACCTAAAACTAAGGGGTCATGGACCCATTTTGTAAGGGTCATGGAGACTCTAGGTGTGCATGACCTACAACGTCATCGCTCAGCTGGAAAACCAAAGGTGGCCTCGTGGTGTATAGCAACCCCGCCAAGCAAAGGCGTGACAAACAAAAACTAGGTCCTCCAGATTTGAGAGGTTAGAATAAGTTGGTACCAACTGTTTTTCAGTTTCGTCTATTTGAGTAGGGGAACCCTCCCCCTAAAATCTAAAAAGAAACGGTAACGGGGCACGATCCTGGGGGACCTAGAACGCCTTACGGGTTCTGATTCGCGAGAAAAAATGATCGCAGCTTCGGTGGAAATTCTGGGTACCCCTGCGCCAACGCCCATGAAGAACGGAGCCATCAAAGGGGAAGATTCTCGAAATGAGAGAAGCCTTTTCAGCCATGTGCCGTTTTACATGTGGTTCCAGAGAAAGCCAACCCCAACAACAGTAGCCTTTAAACACAAGGACGCATCCGAAATGAAGTTCTGAAAATCGTGGTTCCCTAAAATGGCAGGGGTGTCCTGTTGGTTCTCATTTAAATACCAAAAGGGGTCCAAGCCATTTTTTTTGCAAAAACACTGAAAAAACAGGGCCCGCAGAGCGTCCCGTTGTGTTTGTTTGGGGGTCCCAAAAAGAGACACGCATTTTGAGAGCCGCTAAGTTTTGACGAATTTCCGAAGGCGGCGAAGGCACCGATTTGCGATTGGGACTCCCTTACTAACAATCACCCACCCGCTCACTTCCTGAGTGGCTTGGCCCAAAAATTACCCGAACTGGTTCTTTGCCACTAAAAAAATACTCCCGCGGAAAAAACAAAAAGACAAAAAAACAAGTCCGAAAAAAGCGGACCTCGGGAAGTGAGGCGCCAAGCCGAGCCCGCTTCTTGCGCCAGCAGCCCACCCCCCGTCGCGCCTCAGGCGCCGCTGCCGGAGCGCCGCCGCCGCCCTCGGCGCCGCCGCCGCCGCCGCCGCCGGCGGCGGCGCGGGAGTTCTCAGCGGCACGGGGGCGCTGGCGTAGCCTCGGGCGAGTCGGCCAATCGGACGCCAGTGGATTGCCCCAAAAGAAACTTCGAAGGCTTACTAGGTCCTCCAGATTTGAGAGGTTAGAATAAGTTGGTACCAACTTTTTCTGTAGTCTATTTTAGTAGGGGAACCCTCCCCCCCAAAAAAGAAACGGTCAAAGGGCACTACTGGGGACCTAATTTAGACAAACAAGGGCTCACCTGCGCCAGTCTGGACCTGGAGATACAAGGTGATGCCCTTTTCTGAGAAAAATGTTGCGCTGGTGGACCGAACGATTCTCCTTTGAACAGCTTGGAACCTACAAGGGATATAGTTTTCGTTATTGCAAGCCCTAAACCAAGGAGAACCACAAATGGCCATTATGAATCGGTGTTTGGGCTGCTCACGCGGCGGGGGGGGGGGGGGCGTGCCCGGAATTTAGGGCGCTTTGATTGTGTGTCAATTTGCCAGAATAGAAATGGGCCAAACCCAAACAGTGACGAAAGCGTTTGAAGGAAGTTTGACACCTCCAACCACGGTTCGAATTTCTGGATCAAATCCCCACCAATCCAAACCAGCAACTACGGGTTACCTGACCCTCTGCAAAAGGTGAAAACTCGACCTTTTTGTGGTTTCAATTCGGAAAAAAATATTGAAGCAAGAAAAAACAACCCAAAAGATCCCAAAAGGCTAAGGTCTAAAGATCCACAAAAAACCAACAAGCCGGCTTAACATCTTAAAACCAGCCAACCCAAAAGATCCCACCCCAAAAACCCAAAAGGTCCAACCCTAGCCTTGGCTGCCGGGGGCCCAACCCCCCAAAAAACACCCACCAAGCGGGCTCCCAAACAACCCTCCCGCCTGGCATAGGCCACACCTCGGTGTAGAAGAACCCAACAGCGCCGGGCGTTTGGTGGAGTCGGAAATAACAATAAATAAAAAATACTCCACGGGGTCCCGTGTTTTGGGCCGTTGATGGGGCGTTTGGCTGTTGTTTGGGGCCCCCGTTTTTGGTCATTGTTGGCCGTTTTATGGAAAAGGCGGGGGTTCATTGTATGTTCCTTTTTGTCCTTTTCAAAGAGAATCCGGAAAGGGAGGATAATCCTGATGTGTCAAGTAGTCCACCCGCGAAAGAGGGGCGCCTTGCCGCACCTATGCTTTCGGGCTGCCACCTGACAATCTAGCCAGTCTTTGCTGGGGCCAAAGCCAGTCTCCTAAAGCACAATGGCCCTTTATCTCACCACACCTTGGCCCTCATTTGGGACTCCAAACTTATGTTCTGACGCTGTTCCCAAATTAATCAACCCCAAAATAGATAATAGTTGTGGAGGAGACCCCAGAAGAACGAGCAATCAAGTCACAGATCGTCAAACAAGCCATGGTCCGATTTCAACCCGCGACCAGGAGCACAAAAGAACAGCCGGCCCCCAAAACAGCAATGAAAGTGTTGCGGGGCAGCTCAATTAGTAGAATTCCGCTGGCACTTAAAGGATATTGGTACCCTTCCTCATAGCTCCTGCGAAAAGGGTACCTAGAAGATCAGTTTCCTCTTAAAGGAACCTCCTATGCTATGTTAGTGGGAGGGTATGTGTCAAAAGAGCGGGACGCTATTACAGAGGCGTTTCTTCGTGGTGGCTTTCATTTCATCCCGGCTAAGAACGGGTACCCTCGAAAAAACACAGCCCCAAGGGGCAAACAGATCCGAGCCCCAGGCCAAAGTTGCTTTTTTACTGCTAAGGTTTGGAGCCCGCATTGGTGGTGAAGGAGGGGCTTCCCATTCACCCTCCACAAAAGCCAGGGGTTCAAATCCCAAATCACCAATCTAGTTGTTACCTGAAAAGGTCAGAAAGTCATAAAACGGGACTCTCCCAAAAACACACCTCGAATCTGCGGAAACCTTCCGGAAATGTTCCTTTCAAGGGGACGCCTGTGCAAGTTCCATCTGTTTTTTTGAGAGGCGAGTCTGTCAACCTGGAGCCTCAAAGTACCCAAAACTGTGGAATCCCTGAGCTTTTTGGGGTGATACCCCCATTCGGGCCCAATGCCGAAAATGTTCCGGACAGAAAATGAAGACAATCCCACAGAAAATGCAGGAAGCTCGGAACTTCGAGGGTCCAATGCAGAAAAGGGGCGCGCCCCAACTCTCTCCCCGAACCCAACTCTCCCGCCTGCACGCGCGGTCCCGGCGGGCCTCACTCGTTTTCACCGGGTCCTTCCCAGCATCTCACAGGGCTCAGCTTCAGGAAACTGATCTTCCAGGTACCCTGCCACAGCTATGGCAGCGTCGGAAGGGTACGACCTCTTTTCGGGGCCTCTTTTCTGGGCTGCTCCGTTTTTGCTTTTTTGTTTTTTCCCCCCCATGTCTATTTGTTCGAGCAACAGGTCGATCACCTTAGGTGAGAATGGCATTTGGTTCATATCAAAAGATCCTTTTGGGTCGATTCGGTCGCAAGACCAGCTAAGCTTTGCACCACATGCAACCAGCTGACCAGAGGGTGACTTTGCTAGGCGATTCCAAAAGCACAGACATGACATGGGAGTCAAAAGGATCCCCTGGGCTTCAGTTGCCACCACTAAAAAAACAAGGGTTGGGTTCATAATTCGCCACCATTCTTTACCGGGATTGTCATCATCCAACTTGGGTTTTTTGGGGCCATTCTGTGAATCGGAATCGGTTGAACGTCTCTGGGATCCTTTTGCCCGGGCAGTGGACACCTAGAGATATCCAAAACAGACCCACCGAGTCCTCTATTTGTTTATTTTAATGTATGCATGTTGTTTTTTCGGGGGGTCACCACGCTTTCCAACGTCCCAGAAACAGTGCCCTCCCGAAAAGTGGCCCTCCCTGACCATGATCGTGTTCGAGCCCGTGTTTCGGCACAAAAAAAGGCATAGAACCACTTTGGGGGCGGTGGATATGTTGGCGTAGTCACCCTGTAAATTGCACGGGTTCCAAGGAACTAACCCCGGTCTTATTGACTTTGATCATCCCTTGAAGTAACAAACAAGCTACTCCAGCGTCAACTGAAAAGGCTGTATCATCGAGCTCACTCTTGCTGGCTCTGCTGCTATCTAGACAATCTATACCCTCCCACCAGCTAACATGGAAGTGCACAGACCCCTGTAGAAAGACGTTTTGAACTTCCATGTTAGTTGGTGGGAGGGGATCTTCTTTCATTTTGAGCCAAAGGCTCAATCATAGGTGGCCTTTTGCAGAAACAGATTCTCCCTGGTAAATGGAACAGGAATCGCCCTCTATTTTTTAAGCCAACCAAAAAGGACACCTATGCTCCCAATACCTCGCCCCAAACGGCGCGAGTCGAAAAAAAGAGAGGCCAAGGCGCTGGATGTGCGCGGCGAGACCATGGGCGCGCACTGCATGCTGAAGCTGGTGGGCGCGACGGGCCGCCCAGGCACCACCTTTTTCGCCGATCGATTCCCTCGAGAGTTCCGTTATGCCCCGTTTTTTGGGATCGATGCTTGGTTGACGTTGGAAGGGGAGCAAACATTCTCGAATTTTAGCAGTCAAGCGAGTGGATTTCAACCACTAAACCACAAGAAGCAAAAATGCAAAATGTTTCCCAACAACAACCATGTATGCGGGGCAGGGGTGTGGTTGAAATGGAATCCACAAAAAAATATGATACAACAGCAAGGGCCTAACCCCCCCAAGCCATGATTCACATGGAACTCCGAAAAACGCCATTTGTAGAGGAAACTCCTTCTGGGGACCCCCTTTTTGGGTTCTGGCCCGGGAGTACTGAGACAAGGTATGCCCCGAAGGTACGCGTGCCCAGACGAGTCGTGGTCGGAGCCTCAAAATAGGGCACTCTCAACACATAGATGGGTTTTATTCCATTCACCAGGGCGGTTTTCATGATGGCATCACTCACAGGCAGCTGGTACAATCCATAAGACTGAACAGGTTCCTATGATGCCGGCCTGGTAGACGGAATAAAACACATCTAGATCAGAATATCTATCTCCAACCAAAGTAACTTAAAAAGGACACCTGTGACTTCCTTTGATCGACCTCTCCAAAAAGGTCCAACCTAAAACAAACCACAAATCCATGGTCCACCATATCTATCTGGGTGAATTATAATATTTCACCAACCTGCATTTTTTGGTGGTTGGGGGGCTATTTCCCACATAAACCACCATTTGGGGTGAATTCGCTCGTGTGAGGGCGTTATAATTCACCCAGAAAGACATATCCGAATGGTGCAGAGAATTTGTTGCTTCCTTTTTGGTTTGCCTTTAACATCAAAACAGGGGTGCCTTCAAATGACACATGGTTCCTTCAAATGCATGTCGGAGTGGTACCTTCGACCTGGCTGCCAAGCTGCATAAGGCGGCACGCTCAAGGTTCTCGAGGCAGTCAAAGAGGTGCTCAAGCCTGCAAATTCTCAGGGAATGATTCCCAGACGCTTTGAGAGTGGTTCTCTGGTTTTGGGGGTCCCCTCAAAAGGGGGAAACCACCAGTTGGGTTGTTTATATATATATATATATATGTATATATTTGAGGGGGGGTCACTCCATTCTCATTCCCCCTATCGCAGCAAGAGAAGTGCCTGTTTCCTTGCGGAGGGACCGAACCTGTTGTTTGCCAGCCCTAGGCTTTCAATTTGTGGCTACGCCCCCTTAAGAAAATGAGAGAACATAAGACCAGCGAAAAACGATGCCCTGTAAAACCCAAAAAGGGAATTGTTTTCAATAAAATTCTGAAGCAAATGGAAGGTGTTGTTCATTCCAAGGGGTGCGAAGCGAATCTTGCTCATCCACACCCAATCTTGCGCACAGCGCGAATCTTGCTCGTCGGCATCACTTGGGCAGGCAAACAAAGCACATTTGTTCTTCGCACATTGCGTTTGGAAGCTGGTGTTCAACAGGGATCCTTACATGAAAGACAACCTGAACATTGCAACTTGTAAATGGTGTTTTCCAACTTTATTTCGGTGTTGGAAAAAGCCACATGTTTCAACTGGTTGCAAAATTTGTGGATCTTTTAAGGAGCCCTGTTCAACCGAAGTTCGGTGGCTCAAGGAAACAGGGAGGCTGAGGCTTCCGTTTCAAAATCTCCCGATTGACGGACCCGATTTGTTCGGCTCAAGATGCCAACTCCTTGTCTCTCTGATTAGGACTCTATTCATAGGGAAAGCAAAAGGAAACCACCCCTAGCTCCTTGAGTAGAGAGGTTTGAATAAGGGTACCCTTTTTTTCTGTAGTCTATTTTTGCAGGGGTGTCCTCCCCCAAAAAAATGTAAAAGTGCACTACTGGGGGACCTAGACCCATATGTTCTTGTTTGTGCCGGTCAGTTTTGCTTGTCTTATTTTCGGAAACACGCAAAAATCAAGGTTGCGCTAAGCTGTTGCTGCATGTTCTAATTAAAGACTAAAGATCCAACCTAATAGCAGTCAAGCAAAAACCTCCATAATGGGTTTTCCTGTTGGTTTCCCTCTCAACCAACCCCAAAAAGGGCCAGCACTCCAAACCAACGTGACTACAGGTTGCGACAGTCTCAGAGTCTCAGAGCCCCGCTTCGTACACGCACCGTGCTGCTCCCGACAGGGGCAACGCCTGGCTACAGAAGACTCCGACCGTGCAACAAGTGCCAATTTCTTGCTGGATGAGAAGGAAAGACTACCCCTGATTCATAACGGGAACCCTGGATTTAAACAAAAGACACGGGTTGGCTTACAGAAAGGTGCCCACTTTTAGTGGGAATCCTTTCGCTCTCGTGGTCCACATTAACCCCGCCACCCCGTCCCCCAAGGTGGACAAGGTCCAGAAAAGCCAAGCCCCTACTAACCCCATCGTCTCCGGCCCTCCCCAGTCCTCCCCAGGCCTTCCTGTCTGGCCCATATAACAGCTATAGGAAACTAGGTTCTGCAGTGAGGTTAAGTTGGTACCAAAATCTTTTTCAGCTTCGTCTATTTTAGGGGAACCCTCCCCCAAAAAAGAAGCGGTAAAAGTTGGCACGACGCAAAAAGAGACCTAGGAAAGTGAAAGGAAGCCAAATTCAAATTGTTCCTCCCAGGGCCGGAGGGTGCCTTGTACATTTTTTTGGGGGGTTTGAAGGGGGTTTGAAGGGGGTTACCATTTATGAGCTTGGCACACTTTGAATGTGTATAATTTACCACCGGCCCTTTCCGGCGAGTTCTCTTGTTCTTCGGAGTTGTCCAAAGCAATCCTGGAGACTATGAATGAACCAGTATTGGTAGATGTTGGTAACTCGCTTCAATTTGCATAATATTTTAAATTCATTGGTTTTCTGGATCTAGGAAAACAGTCTTTGAGGGTTTTCGCCTTGCAACGGAGCGATCTATTGTTTGGCCAAACTTTGGCCCCTTGCTGGCTGCTTGCAGCTAGTTGCCAGCTGGGGGGAATTAATCAGGGGTGACTAAAGGAAAACCCAAAAGGCAACATTTTCCACTGCAAATCAAAGTTAAAGGAAAACCCAAAAGGGGGTTCAAGGGGGGTGAAGATTAAAGGAATGTGTTTTAGATGTGATCAGTCCGGCAACGATTCCGGCATCCATGTTTGCTTTGGGCATGGACCCATGACTGCTCCCTGCGACCGCCAAACGAACACAACTTCACCTCACGGCTCTGATCTGAGGGTTGCATGACGAACTTGATTCAGAGTTGTGCGACTGAGGCAGAGCGAAGAAAAAGCAAAAACTACACCTAGCCTCGCTGACATGCAAGTGGAAAATGGCACTTTCGAACATTGTTGTCCTTTGATTGGGTCAAGGGCTGTCTACGCTGCCCACTTCCAGTGAAGCTGCGTGTACTGCGAACCCCCATTTTTCACATAAAAATCAGGCCACGTCCTACGGTTTGCTCCGGGGCTTCCCATGGGAATTCGCTTTGCGGCAAACCCCCCGCGCAGCGCCTCGCGTCACCGGCTCCGCAACGCTCACCCTCCTGCACGGCGTGAGCCGGGCCACGAGCCGGGCCGCGAGGCCACGAGGCCGCGAGCGGCGCGGAAGGGGAGCGGTACGAGACGGTCCCTGATCCTTTCAAAAAAAAAGCCGCCCCCCGTCTTTTCCAGATCCGGTTTTCTGGTTTCCCCCGGGTTTTTTTTGGGATGGTTTTTAATGAAAAGATGCGGAGCCCTAGGCACATGGAAGCTTCACTGAGATCTTTGCTGGGCTCTTCTTGCTGGGCTTTTCGAATGGTTTTCTGAAAGACTCGGATTTTTGGAAAGATAAAATCACCTAGCTTCCCGAGATCTCAACGCAAGATGCGATCGCTTCAGGTCTTCAGGCACCCTGTCTTGCAAACAAAAGAACACGCCGCCGGCGGCCAGGGAAAAATCCGCGGGTGTGCAACAACAATACAAGATCCATTTTGTTCAGATGACGTTGGGTGAGTTTATGCCACCATTCTTTGCCCAGGATTGTCATCCAAGCTGTTTTTTTTGTTTCTGGGGCCATTCTGTCAATGGGAGTCGGTTGGACCTTAGGATATAAGAATGACGAAGCTTCAGCCCAGTGAGCGCGGCTCAAGCGCTTTGCTTTCCATGTCTGAGGCCCAAACAAATCCGTTGATCGAGGTCAGACCCCCACGAACTCGACTTGGAGCTCTTTCACGGCCCGGCACTTCGGGCGCGGCGTTGAAGGAACTATGTCATTCAGAATCGGCCTCAAAAGGGGGGGAACACATATGGCCATGGGTCAAAAGCCCGTACCCCCAGTGAACATCCCAATCCCCACTAAAATGGACTAAAATTGGTGGTGCACCTACCCCAAAATGGTACCATTGGTTTTGACCCACAGCCATATGAACCAAACACTAAGCTGGAGGCTTCCTGTCCCCAGTTTCGGAAGGACCCAGCCAGTCGAGCTAGGGCTCGATGCCTCAAGTATGACGCGTTTTAAGGCGCCCGTTTCTTTTTGGCGGGATCACGCTTTGAGGGGTCCTGTCTTGCCTGGATACTTATTCCTTGTCGTTCTCGAAGTTTAGGCGTTCTGACGGATTCCTCGTCATTTTTGGAAAATCTAGGCGAGCTTCAGGAAATCTAGTCGTGCCATGTTCCTTTTGCCCCTCGCGCCCTTCCCCGCAAGCGCCTGTGCACTGACACCTGCTGATGCGCGCATCCTGTTGAACATCCTTATCAATCTGCAGCCCACCCGGTTCTCACTGAACTCGGGACTGGCCCATGCATTTGTGCATTGTGTTCCAAGTTTGGGCGAGGCCTCGGCGTCGCCCAAGGCTGATCTGTTGAAGTAGCCACCCACTAATTTGTTGAATTGGCCGCGCCATAGGCTGATTTGCAAAAAAATGGATATACCCCAAACAGGAGATTTTGGGATTTGCGGGCGTTTGCGGGGATTTGCGGGCGTTGTGCGGGTTTTTGCGGGCGTTGTGCGGGCAAAAGTCGGCGCGGCAAAATGCATCGATACCGGTCTCAAGCAGTTGTAGCAAGGTCCTCACGAATTTGCGTAGATTTTGCGCATTTTGGTGCTGGGAAATGTCATGCTTCAGATCTACTACGCGGGCATCCGCCGCAATATGATGGCTTGATGCCTTGATCCCTTGATGCCCTGATGCATCACGCAAATCCCGCCTGAAAAGGGGATGCGTCCCACGCGGGGCCCAAAAGGCGGAAAAATGCCGCAAGGTCACTGTCTTCAAACCCCAGGTGCTCTGATGCCCCGAAAGTGCAGAAACTCATCAATTTAGGCGTTTTCTGGAAAAATAGGGAATTTTAGGTCAAGTTCACAAACTACAAGAAATAAGTACACGTTGGAATTTCCAGGTGTTTTCATTTAAATAAAACTTGTCTTTTCTTCGGGGGAAAGCTCTTGGGGCGTTGGCCTCCCTCCCAAAGCTTTCTGCGATCCGTTGCCGGGTGCCCCACAGGGCGGGCTGCGACGGCGCCTCGTTTTCGCCCGATGCGAACCCATTTTCAGGTGGGCCAAGGGCTAAGCAAAAAACCGAACTTTCGACTCGCCGCTAAAAAGGTCTGCCAAAAAACGGCTCAAGTCCAGGAATTCATTACGTGAGCATAATAGCAGAAACTATGTTTTCATCCCGAGGCCGGGCATTTGTAGAACCACCTACTATCAGCTTCTTTTGGAGCCTGGTGATTTGGAGGTTAGGGATGGTTTCCATTTACCCCGTCGAACAAGAGGAATCTCCTACAGTTTGGGTCTTCGCAAATTCGCCTCGGCCCCAGAGGCCGCAAGCGGTCAGACCCCTCGGATCTTCTAAACCCCTTCCCCAAGTTGTCCGTCCGACCAAACCGGTCATGTTCCCCCTAAAAACCGGCCAAATTCCTGACATCTTCCCTCATCGGAAGCTTGGCCCCAGTCCACGGCTCTCGTTCTATCTAGCCCTTCAAACCATGTGGAAACACGCTAAAATGCAAAATTATTGCAGCGTTCTGACCCTCGAAGCCATGTGCTTGCATGCACCCACCCTCTACCTTGGAAACCAGCTTGCGCGCATTTCGGCGCGGACTCACTCACTCAGACAAACACAACGCTTCAAGGCAAACCAAAACACAGTACCTCAAAGCCAGCCAAAAGAATTCTGGCCGAGGCGGGCAACGCGCAGCGTTCACAATTAGAGGAGTAAAACAGCCTCCGTTTGGTGTACCTTGGGCCACCATAGCTGCAGACTTTGCCCATGATGTTGAGTCCTGGTCCTATGAAATTCGCATCAGGATTAATCAACAAGTCCTTTACATGGGATGACCATCGGTTGTTGAAAATGAGTACAAGGTGATAGTTCTCACATGGGAAGAGTTGCCTATGGTCAAAAACTGGGGGCCCTAAATGGGAATATTGATCAACCCCCAGGTGTCCAGGTACAAAGCACACACCGAACCCAAACCCCCGTGCAACTCCCAGTGACTCCGACATGAGAAAGCTAGTGCGCCGGCTTGGTTTTGGAAAACTTGCGTCCTGGTGTTTCTCCAGAGACTACTGGAGATTTCGACCCCACCTCACATGAAGACTAGCCGCCTCACATGAGCAGAGCTGAACAACATGCACAGCAAAATGGCCATAACGCTTTACACGGACCCTCACTAGAAAATGTGCAGCAAAGGAACCAAATCATCACGCTGCAAGAGCCTCCAAACGAAATGCCGTTCGATGTTTCGTAAGCTCGCGGCTGCCTTGGGTGTTTCTTGCGTCTGACTTGGCGCGCGCTCTGCGCGCGTAAAGCAGTTCAAACAAATATGCACTTCGTAGAGCCCAACAAAACACGACGTAAGCCGAGCCATTTGCAGAAAGGAGCGGATGACACGCACTGATCTGTTTCAATCTCGAAGAAACGTTCAGGGCAAAGAACAAGTATCGGAATCTCAGGAACAGTTGGTTCAATTTCATCTGCGCCTTTTACAATCCGAAAACCTGAAATAAGGTTTTTCCTGAGTGGAGAACCTTTACCATGGTGAGCTCGTTTGACCCCCCAACTGAGCTCGCCATAAATGATGCAGAGTTCATGTCACTCAACTTCACCGAATGGCACGGCAACTTCGGCTGGAAAGACCTTGAGCCCTGGGCTCTGTGGCAGCTTGGGCAAAAGCCGCTCGCCTAAGTAAGCAACTGAGCGCTGGGCCCCTTTAGGCTGAAAAGAAAAGGACACTGCAATGGGCTGAACTGAAATTAACACAAAGCAAACGAGTTTCTTGTGTTTTGCAATAAGTTTGTCAACTGCAAGCTGGCTAAAAGTCTTCCAGGGCACACCACGCAACCATGAAACAAAAACCCTCTTTGAGGATGTCTGTGCCTGTTTTTGGAGTTGGTACCCTACTGGGATGGTTTTAAATGGTCACCGAAAGGCTGTTTGGGGGAATGAGACAAACCCGGATTCATCAGATCGGTGTTTCTCCAAATAGGGGTACCTTTGCTGGTTTCCATTATGCTTTAACCAACTGCCCCAAAAATGTGGGGGGATAACCCATTTGTAGGGGTAGTTCATTTCGGGTCCAAGTGCCCTCAAAAAATTGACAGACCCGTCCTTTGTACGGCAAATAGATGGGTTTCCCTGGTAGATGATTAAACCACCAGGTAAACCAGGAATCGGAACCCATCGATTTTTCTACCAAAACCACCAAAAAGGACACCTATGCCCACAACACACATGTCACCGATGTGCTGGGCTCAGGCACGAGGGGCACCACCACTGACCTGGTCGGTTTCAAAAGCAGGTGTCCAGTCTGGAATCCTCTTCGGGTAGTTGAGAGCCGGTTTTGGGTTCCTTGGGGTTTTGTAGAATGCCTTAAGGTTTCTTCGAGTTCCCTGAAATTCCTTCGCGTTCCTCAGGGTTAGGGTTAACTAGGGTTGGGGCCTATGGTGTTTTGGCTTCCCTAGGGTTCCTTAGGGTTCCTTAGGGTTCCCTAGGGGTTCCTTGGGGTTCCTTGGGGTTCCTTGGGGTTCCTTGGGGTTCCTTACATTTCCTTTTATGTTTCCTTAGCGAACCCTCCCCTTCCTTGGACCACTCCCTCCTTTGAGCTGGCATTAGAAACCCTGCAGAGCTCAATCCAAAACTTCCAGCGCAAGACACGGTTTTGCAAGGACTGCCATTTGGAGCGTCCCCTAAGAAACACCTCAAAGTTAAAAGCCCACAGTGGTTCAGCATTCAGGAGTTTCATCTAACCCGGGTACTTGCCGTTCTTTTCACTGGGTTGAGAACCGTTTAGGGCAACCTCATGCCAGTAAAAACTCGACTCAGTGATGTTAAGGCAGCGATTCATGGGGCTCGTTATGAACCGGTGGCTTCTTTCAGATTTCGCATCCAGAAACCTCCCCTTGAGAGAGAACCATCCGGGCCGAAACTGCCGAAACCGCCACTTGGTTGCCCTTGAAGCCAAGTGGCTGAGGGGCTGACCATCCCAAGTCTCAACTTCGACAACCCCTAGGTCCTCCAGATTTCAGAGGTTAGAACGATGTTCTTGTTTCTTCCGTTTTGTCTGTTTTAGTAGGGGAATTGTCTCAACCAAAGAGTGAGAAAGGGCACTGGGGGACCTAGAACCAGATTGCCCGCCCTTTCCACCATGACCCCAACCAGAACTCCGGACTCCAATCCGAATTTGCTCCGAAAGTCCCTCTTCAAGAGCAAATTCGGAGAGCCCCAGCTCAGCGGCTCCCTTCCAACCTCCAGCCATCTTTCCTGAAAAAAAAAACATGGAGTTGTTTGTTGGAGCGTGCCCCTTTTGCGGTGGCTTAACAGAGAAACCGGGAAGGAACGCCACTTTTCCATATGTCTTTTTTCGTGGGGGGATCTTCCGAAGAACAATACGCTGCCCCGTGCGCCAGTTTCTTGGCCCAAGCAAAAAGCAATCTTCGCCGTGCCTAGGCGTCCATGGCGACACACCTTGGCCGGCTCAAATGCCCCCCCCCTTTGATTTAATGTTGACTTGGCGTGCAATCCTACTAAAAGGTGCAATATGATATGTGTAAAACTAAGTGTGTAAACTAAGGTGCAATATGATACATGCATGCATGTACATGTATGCGGGGATGGATGGAAAGGATGCATGGGCGCAAGCATGCATCCCTACGTCTGAGCATGCATCCATACGGAGTCCATGTGTGTGTGTGTGATTAAATGCTTTGGGTATGTCATGAATTTGTTTATTTTCTTGTGTGTTTGTTTTTTTGGTTGGGTTGGTTGGTTGTTCGGTTGTTTCGTCGTTTGGTTTGTTTGCTTCTTAGTCAGCATATCTGCATATCTGTTTGCGTGTGTGTGTCTTTGAACATGTGTTCGCTTGTGCGATCGTTTGCCTGTTTGTCTATCTGTGTGTCTCTGTCCGTTTGCCTCTCCCTCTCTCTCTCTCGCTCTCTCTTCTTGTCTGTCTCTCTCTCTCTCTCTCGCTCTGTGTCAGTCCGTCAGTCCGTCCGTCTGTCGGTCAGTCTGTCTGTTGGTCTGTCTGTCCGTTTGTTTGTCTCTTTCGGTCTGCCTGTCTCCGTCTGCTTGTCCGTATGTCTCTCGCTTTCTTGCTCTCTCTCTCTCTCTCTCTATCTGTCTCTCTGTCTGCCTGTCTCTGCCAATCAATATCTATCTATCTATCTATCTATCTATCTATCTATCTATCTATCAGTTATCTATCTATGTGTTCATCAACAGATTCATGATTTCGAGAGTGCATGTCTTGTGGGTCTATGCAAACGTAATTTCATGAATGTGACATCACATGTTGATTCATATGTACACATATACCATATATGTACACATATACTATATGTATACATATGTGTATATATATATATGTTTGAATCATATGTTAATTCATTCATCCGGCAGCTGTTCTGTTAACTTACTTCATCTGGCTTCATCCTCTGTTCATGCATTTAATATCTTTTTAGTAGGGGACCCTCCCCCCAAAAAATGAAAAAGGGCACCATTGGGGGACCTAGTATATCAGGCAACCCTTGCTTGGTTTGGTCCTTCTCCTCCACATGGGCAAGCCACGTCCAAACCGGAAGCTGAACAGAGCAGCAAGTTTGACCTCACCTCACCTCAAAGCCGCCGGGAACAACGACATATTTCCCGTAGTGATAGACTCCCTTTACATCCAACAAGGGAAAATACAACATATTCTTAAGCAAACGCAAGGGAGGCAAAGGTGTACATCCAGGATCTCTCCGATGTCACTAGGAGACGATCCTCTTTTGGATTGTGCATACGGGCATGTCTCGGAGACGCCAAAAGATTGAGGTGGTCCTTCTGGTTTCTCTTTAAACCAACCCCAAAACAAACTCTCAATCGGGATGGGGAATTCACGAACAAAACTTTGGGTCTATCAGACCCACGGCACTTTTGATAACAATCTCGCTGGGAATCCTCCCAGAACCGATGGCTATCATCCACATTGCTTAAGTCCACAAATAAAAATGAAAAATGTGTCACTTGTGACAGATTCCCTTCAAAACCAACAAGGAAAATCACAAGTAATCTTAAGCAAACAGAAGCTCTACTTTCACAAAAAAAGGCCATGTCGCACAGGTTGTCAATGATCCCTAGTCCTGGACAGCTTTACTGCACGTCAATCCTCTGTGTTGAGGCTGCGGTTCATCTAAACCGTGGCAAAGTGTAATTGGTCAAGCCAAGTCAAGACACACTTTTTCGGAAGTCGGGTTAGGAAGAAGATGCCGCAATCAGCTCTCAAATGAAACGTGGCCCGGATTCCGACCGGGTTGCAAAAGTGGTGGGTTCTCATTTTGGTTTCCCTTTATCCGGGGAAATGTGGTTACCTTTTGTCCCCTCTCTTATTTGGGGGGATCTTGTTACCCTCTTGAAACACCCCACCAAAACAGGGGTTCCCGGCTCAAAAGGAGCCACCTATCTTGGCTGGAATTAGGACCCCAGAAAAAGAGCCTGGTTAGTGGAAAACAAAGGGGACCCCAACAAGAAAGAAACAAAAAGGGGAACTAATTCTGGGGAAGCTATGTCAGGAACCATTCACATCGCCGTTCCGGTTTGCAGCTGACCTGGGCGCCTGACAGCGGGGGGGGCCTGTCACAGGCACCTGGCGAGTGGCGAGTCATGGCGGGGGTACCGTTTTTGATGAACCCCTAAGCGGGGGGCTATGGGGGGCAATGGGGGGGGCCCTCCCCCCCCATAGCCCTCTTAGGGGTCCGTGAATCGTACTCTCTGAGCTGGTTTCCACTACGTCCCGGAAGATCATGTTCCTTTCAAAGGAACCCCCTGAAAACCCGTGTTCACTTCCTGGTTTGAGGAAATCATGGGCCACCATCTTAAGTCTTCACTATGTTCACTACCTAGATCGCCAAGTGGTGTTCGCCTTTCACTGGGCGCCAACCACAAAAAACGCACCGCACAGTTGCTGAAAGACGACACAGCAGACCACGAAAGGCCACGAAGGTAGGAGTCGGCTTATTGAAATACAACTCCTAGGATGGCTTTACACAAACCCTCCTAGGATGGTTTTCCGAGCTTCCTTTTTTGAGGGCCCCTGGTCGGTTTCATACAATATGAAACAAGCTCACCGTTTTGTGTAAAGCAATCCTTAAGACTATGAATGAACCAGTATTGCTAGGTTTCTGTTGCAAAATACTTCTCGATTCGTAGTTTCTCATGTTATTAATTTTCTAGATCCAGGACTCTTTTTGTTGCGGAAATATGATGTAAAAGAAAAGGCCCGAACAGTTGACAAGGGACGCCCACATGAACTCTATTGCGCTCTTTCCTGTTTTCTGGTCCCCTGCTAAAAGTGAGTTTCACTTCTGGGTTAAATGAAGATCCAAGCACTAAACCAGCTAAGCTAGAAGCTTAAAGACCCGGATGCCTCGGAAACTCCAAGTGTGGATGGCGTCGACACATATTTCGGTTGCCTAGGTGACAAAGAAGCGGGGTCAAGATGTTCAGGGATCCTTAATCTATCTTTTAAGGAGAAGCCCTGTTGTTGCTTGGATGTTCCACCCACTTTGGGAGGGTGCGGGTCGACGGCTGCTTTGCGGCCTCCTTCGATACCTCTCACTTTGAATTGCGTCCATTGCGAGTACGCCCCCGGCAAAAAAAAAGAAGTCCAGTAGTGATAGATTCTTTTTAAAACCAAAAAGGAAAACATCTTCTTGAGCAAATGGACAATTGGCTGCAAATGAAAGCCAACCGTCCGGACGCACACGCAGGCAGATTTTCCAATGTGGAAGGTGCCAAATACAGCGAGGCGGAGAACAGAAAATTATCCCCAACAGCGTTCCGTGTGGTTTCCCTTCAAGCAAACCCCCAAAACCGGTACCCTCAAAAACAGCACCCAAACGATGTTCCTTGCATTAGAAGTGGCTGGAACTCGATTGGCAAGTGGGCTGCGTGCTTTCTTTTTTGGACAACACGAACAGCAGAACAACTTGGAAGACCGGGAAAACCTGTTTTAGTGTCTGATCCAAATTCTCAACATCCAGACTGCGAGGCGGAGAAGTTTGGTCCGAGATCGAAGGGTCGCAGACAAAACTGGTTTCGCTTGTCTGCGCCGTTTCGAGAGAGCACGGCCAAAAAAAATCACCTCGCCAGGCCGTGGAACAAATGAACAAGTTGGTCCCCAAACTTGTCAGATGAGCTTAAAGGGAACGTTACCAAAAATACAGGAAAAAGGGCGCCACTGGGCAACGTCCACCCAATTTGAGTGGACGCCAAATCCTTGTCCATGCTGCCCGGTCAACAAGCCGGACCCGGATTGGCCCTGGAAACATTTAGCGCTTATGGCATTGAAGGATGTTCGAACAGGAAAAGCGTGGTGCAGGATGCACCTCATGAGAAAAAGAAGGGCGCTGTGCGCAAGCGCGTAGGCCGGCGCTCAAGCTTCCTTGCGCTTCCCTGCGTGCGCGATCCCAACATGTTTGTATCACAAAGCATGCATCTGGATACCAAGGAGAAAACCTATACCCAGGCAACTGCATGTACAAAGGCTGTGGCAGAAATTATCTTCCATCTTCTGTTTGTAGTCTCCAGATCCGAAGTCCCTCACGTCTGCATGCATTTTGCCAATAGGGCTGGCAATGTGCTCAACGGTTGCAGGCTTTACCTGCTTACTGCCAGAACTCAGTTGTTCAGTGACCCTGGAAAAAAAGGGAACCCTTTTTTGGGAAGACCATTTTAGTGGGGCAGCCACAAAAAAAAGAGGAAAAAGGGAGCCACTGAACAACTGCCAGAAGGTGACATCCTTGAGAGTCAAAATCACTGGCGCTAACCTGTATCTCCGCGTCGCGAGCTCCGCTCTGCTCCATGTTCCATACTTGCAAATATGTCATCATGGGGGCTGGGGGGGAGGGAGGGGAGGGGGAGGGAGCCCAAATAAGCCCTTATTCAGCCCTTTGAAGCCTTATTTAGGGGGATTGGGGATGCATCCAGTGCAAGATCGTCAACCAGTTGTCTGACCCAGTCAAAGAAGCAGGGCAGTTGCCACCTTTATTCAACCACTCGTTTCAAACAGTACACGAAGTATCAGTCCGCAGGCAAGAGTGAGGATATTTTGCAGAAGAGATCGCTTTCCATGACCGTAAATTAAGCCGGAGACAGTGACTGCAACGTTCAGGTTAGTGGTTCCGACGACCCTCCAAACAGCTTACTTCAGACTTGTCCGGAGCCCGTACTAGTCAGGGGTCGTTCGCCTTTTGGTAAGGAAATGATGTACTTTAGATGGTTTGCCTTGACTAATTAGTAGGGTCCTCCATGGTTCATCCAAAGTTTGTGCTCGTGTTGTTGCTTTTTTTTTGGGGGGGGGGACCTCGCAGAATGGCTTGATTTCTGCTTGCCTTCGGTTTCCCTAAAGACCACCCAAGAAAAACCCTCAAACGGACACACCACCCCAGGGCCAAGAACCAGGCGTCCAGCAGAACCAGGCGTCGCAATTTGGGCCGACCGATGGCGAAAAGAAGAAAGGCTCCAGCCAAAAACAAGGTGCCCTTCCTTCCTCCCATGTTAGCACCTGAAACAGGGATCCGGATGCATTATACACTTGAACATTGCCTGGCAAATGGTGGTTTCCAACTTTATTTTGGTGTTGAAAAAGCAACATGTTTCAACTGGTTGCAAATGTATCTTTTAAGGAGCCCTGTGAAAAGTACCTGGCTTGTACTTTTTTGAGCCCTTTTCAGGCATGAGGAATCGAAGGTAAAGCTTCAATACCTATCAGGTGGTTGAGGAAGGAAGAGGAGGGAAAGCTCTTTGACCCCATATTCACCAACCCTTGCTTATTAAGATGGGAGTGATTTTGGAACCCCCCCAAAAGTGGGCTGATCCCAACATTTCGCCTTGAGATGGACACCCTCAAATATAAAATGAAACTGGGGTTGATGAAGCTAGGCAGGAATTAGGACCCCAGCAAAATATGTATATATATATTATATATATATATATATATATTTGCCTGGTTAGTGGAAAACAAAGGGGACCCCAAAAAAGCAAAAAAGGAAAAGGGGGAGCTAATTCTCGGGAAGGAACTAGGTCCTCCAGTAGAGAGGGTAGAATAAGTTGGTACCAACTTTTTCTGTAGTCTATTCTAGTAGGGGGACCCTCCCCCCAAAAATGGGGTGAGAAAGGGCACCTAGCTGGGGGACCTAGTGAAAATCTGGGGTCAACATTCAGCCCTTGAGGCCTCAACATCGCGCCTGCGAAGGCTTCGCCCAAGAGTTTGGCACCTCACACGAATTTCGATTTGCTCTGGGGTTCGGTGTCTTCGGGTTCGCACACCGCCCCCCACTGATACAGTGATGATTCATGAGCCAAGGCAGTGCCGTTGCTCTCCTGCATTCGCGCTTAAAGTGGCACATACCAAATATCCAGGTTCCCAACATCGAGTTGCAACATCCTGGGTGAACAAGAATACTTCACCAACCTGAAATCAGGTGGTTGGGGGCCTCCGTTCCCCACATAAACCATCACATGGGGTGAGGTCGTTTGAGGTCGTTATAATTTACCACAGAACATCAGACATTCCATCCTTTCACGCAGAAATGCAGCCACTCTCTGAGTTTTTCTCTGGGGTGGCGGCAACGGCGGCCATGCTGGAAGCATTGCTCAAAGGCCCATGCACATCATCCGAAAGCTTCTTGAACCCTTGGCATAACCCAAAACATCACGCCACGTGCTTTGCGACAGAGAGTCTTTCAAGCATCAAGTTGTTTGTTCAGAGGCCATGTGGTTAATTACAAAGTCATCCAAGGTACTCTGCAGCTCTTGAGCAACATAGCATGCGAAAAGGGATCTAAAACCCACCATGTACCACGCAATGGTGAGGTTCAGAGGCCTGCAACTACCTGCAACTACCGCCCCGAGCCGGCGCGGCCGACGATTTTCTAGCACGACAAAACCCGGTTTAGTCGTGTCGATGACGATATGTCTTGATGGTGTTGGCAGTGTGTACCTAGGTCCACCAGGACCAGCATTTTGAGAGTGTAGCCTGGTGAAAAAACGCGTCACTTCATCACTGGCTTTCTTCCGAGTCGGCGAATCGGCGAATCGAGCATTAGCTGCTTCCACCTGCAGGACACCAAGCCTCTTGCTGGTTCGATAGGCAGGGAATGAGGGAGAGACTTTATCCTATTAAAGGGAGCCGAGTCGGTTTAACAACCCAAGCCCTCATTCCCCAAAAACCCGCAAGTGACAGCTTGGGCAGGGAGCACAAGTCGTCTATGCACATACACACCAGGGAGCACCCCTAGGCGTGTCCCAAGTCCGCGTGGAGTTCCGATCAAACGAAATCCGGCGAATCATTCTGCTTTCGCGGGTAAATGGAATGGAACCGACCCATATCTAACCAGACTAACCTAAACAAGACTGCTGAAAACCCCGCGGCTCATGCGCGAGAAAGAAAGCCGCGACTTGCGCGCATCGCAAGCTCACATTGACCTGAGCTCACGCCGGACGAGAGACGAACAGTTTTCCAACATCGAAAGCCCTTCCCTTCACCAAGCCACACACGGGTTGGACACTTTGTAGGGAACTTGGTTGACGTTGGAAGGAGGGCAACAAATTAAACTTTAGCAGTTAAGTGGGGCTTTCCCACTAAATCACAATAAGCAAAAATGTACCCCCCCTTGGTTGGATGTTTTTTTGGAGGGGAAAGACGGGAACCGCCACTCTTTCGGGGAAAGGGGGGGGTCGAAAAAAAAAATAAAAAATCCAATCACCACGCGGAGAGATAGAGGGCATTTTCCGGCGCCGTGCAAAAAGTCAAGAGACGATGCAAAGCAACTTGGCCCCCAAAGTTGGATTTTGTGTTTTAGCTGAAATTGGACATGGACCACCGAAACGGCGGTTTAAGCCGTTCGGTCAGTTCTCACTTGGCCAGTGACCAGCCAAAAGTGTACACTTTTTGGGCCACGAGTAAAAACGGAGAGCCACCAAGGAAAAAAGTGTACAGTGTGTCCACTGGCTGGGTGAGAGTTTCGTCTGGATATAAGCAGACTTCTTTTTCGTTCTGGCGCAGACGCAAAGCAACTGAGTGAGAGTCAGGCCAGCCCCAGGTTGCCTTGACGCAAGCTCCCCGCAACGCCTTGATGCGGGGAACAAAACGTGTCACGACTTTGGTTCTGTCAACATGACTTGAAGGGCTGAATGATAAGGGTGTGTCTTTTTTCGAGGGTACCTTTTTTGGGGTTTAAAAGGAACCAAAAGGAAAACCACAATTGTTTGGGGGGATCTTAAAAAAAGACAGCCCCACATAGGCCTTAAAAGCCTGATAACATCAGGAACCACACAAGCTGAAATGGCCCTTTTAAGGGAATCGGTGTTGGGCGGCTCGCTATCTGGACGACTGGCGAAAAAATCGAGTCGTGACATACAAGCCAAAAGGTCAAACTTGGGCTGTCTGTTTTCATATCCCCGGCTACAAGTTTAACTTGCGGATGAAATGGAAACCAGCCACTGGACCAACTAAAGAGCTAAAACTGATCAAAGCGAATGGCTGGGTGAACCACTAAGAAAAACCAGGCTTTGGACTTTATGTTGAAGGCTCTGACCGCTGACCGCTGGCAGGAACCCTTGCATCAAGTCGCTTCCCAACATGGTAAACTGGTCACAGATGTTGATGCCCAGCTTCGATGTGTGTACGTTCCTGCCTGTCTCCATGTCTCCATGCCAGTCTGCGTGCATCTGTGAGCTGTGTGTTTCCCCTGCTGTTGTTGTGTGCGTACATGGGAGTTTCTCAAGCTAGTTTCCTGAAACATGGGCCTCCCTTTAGATACTAAGCAAAAGGGGTCTACTGTTCTGTTCCATGTCTTTTTGAAGGTCGGTGTTGACCCCTACGTGTCATGCAACCTTTGGAGCAGCCTGAAAGGTAGAACGGCTCACTCTTCGCGCATATCAAATACATATAACGCGAACCAGCAAGTTGGAACGTCACTTTGTCAGTGGCTCACACGAATCACACTTAGAATTGGGCAGTTGTTTGATTCGCCAAGCGAATCTACGAGATCCAGATGAAATAAACCTTCATGACGTCGCACATCGTCCACTGACGCCGTGAAAACACATTCGAGGCACTCTTGCCTTAAGAGAGAAACACGTTTCTCGATCTTGGCGTTTTACAGGTGGGCTCTGGAGCCTCGCTTTCGTAAAAACGGACAAACAACTAAGCAACGAATGACCCGGAAGCATGCTTCCGGGGGCAAACAAAAAAAAACGGCAGAATGCGCCCGGAACTGTTTGAGGCGAACACCAGAAGCACCACAATGCCCGCAACAACTTCGTGGGGCTTTCGCAGAAAGACCCTTCCAGCGGCTCTCGCCGCACAAATTTGACTTATCTACACCCTGGGGCTCAGTGACGAAAAAAAATGGGGGGGTTCATAGTGTGGATGGTTGCGAAATCCATTTCGCACCACTGGGAAACCGTGGTTGAAACCCCTGTTTGTTGGTATTCTCAGGGGAATCATCATTCCAGGGTTTCTTAGGTGGTGCAGGATTTCGTCCATCCACAGTATAATCATTGTTTACCCAAGGATTGTCATCATGCAAATTGGGTCCTTGCCATTCGATCCGCCAGCTTTGGCGTTGGTCAACGCGTTTAACGCCCGTGACTTTTGTACCATCCCTATCTCCAGGTGCCGCCGCAAGAATCCCAAATCATAGGCTCAGGCGCCCAAACACACTTTCCCATGGCGCAAGACAGGCGCCGACATCCGCAACCATCAGCTTGTGTACAGAGAATGGAAAGCCCGAATGGTCAACACCCCCATGTGTCCAGCTTGTTGATGGCTTCTTGGATTCAGGGTCGGCTCGTTTTTGTTTTTGCACAATCACCTTTTTGGCCTTGAGGTGAGTTGGCGATTCTGAAGAACTAATATGGGCAGCCTTGTACCCTAGGGTTCCCCCATGAAAAGGCCTGGGAACGTCGACGGCGACTCACGCAACAAAGCCTAGCAAATCCAATCTCAATGTCCAAACCGTAGGGTCAAAACCCCCACTGAAAGAAAGGATGATCCCATTTGGCCATGGGTCATAACCTATGCCTCCATTTTGTGGCGGATGAACACCCATGTACCACCTAATTTGATGTTCACCAGGGGTACAGGGTTTTGACCCACAGCCAATTCGGATGGTGACAATCCTGAACGGCAAACAATGGTGGTTCTATGAACCCCCATTTGCTTTCATGGTGGTAATTGAACCCCAGGGCACATGCAATACTGCGCGGGTGGTGCTCATCAAAAGCAAACACTTGCAACCCATTATACTTAAAGTGTGGTCGCAAAAAGGTTCGAGCAGCTGACTTCTAGCGTCAGGCAGAAACGCCATGCGAGGGCACGCGTGGCCGGGTTCTTGACGTGAGCCTTGCTCATGGGATTGAGCTCCCTGTTCTGTTTCTTTTCCGATTTGGTGAGTGTACCCCCATGTTATCCCCTGAACCTACAGTACATGGCACATATTGACCCTTGCTCGCAGGGTGTATCCAGTCAGCCAGCTCGAAGGTCCTTTGACCGTAGCGATGGGAACTGAGAGCAAACGGCTTCAGCCTTTCAGCTCTCGAAGCAGCATATCATCTCTACTCTTGGTATGGTAGCAAAAAAAAAATGTTTCTTGCAGACCCCAGGAAAAATGAACAGAACCAAACAACTAAAAAACCAAAAAGCATGCCAAGAACAGTGAAGATATTGGGCGGGCTTTCCCGCCATTTCGGGGCTCCGATTCCCACCAACTTCTAGGGGACACTTCCATTTCCATTCTTTCCAGGGATCCGAATCTCTCCAGAAAACCATCAAAAAGAACGATGGTTGAAAAGAATGGGGAATGAACCTCTAGAAAACTGGGCCACATCCAGGTGCCCACGGCTCAAATAGGATGGAGGAGTGGACCTGCCGGTCCCCGGTCTCTCATCTCGCGCTCATGCCTGAACTTCCGTGTCCGGACTGCGAATCACCGGTCGCAAGCATGGGTTGCCTCAGGTCTCGAACAACTTTCGGCATGGCAAAGCCCCGCAATCCGACGACCCCAGCACTTCTATTTGCGCTTTCGTCCCCAGGAATGCAGTAGTGATAGATTCCCTTTAAAACCACCTGAGGCACCCAACGTGCCTTTTTTTAGGTACGAGAAAAAACGCTGCTCGAATTACCGATTTCTGCTCGACCCCCCCAAAAACGCTCGCCCCCCGAAAAACGCTCGACCAAATCCCCTTCTTCCTCCTTCTTAATGTGCACTCGTTTGCGGATATTTGCGCTCGTTTTGCGGATAGTTGCGCTCGTTTTGCACTTCGATTTCTGCTCGCTCCTTTCGAAAATTCAACGAAAGATCATCTTGGAGGACCGACCAGCCCGGTTTTGGGAAAACCACTCGAAGCAGGAAAATGTGTACGTTTACCATATTTTGGTGACGACCCCTGGTTTTGCAATACGTTTGGGCTACGGGCAGAAATTTAGGTAACGAAGGGTGCTGCAGGCAAGAGGGGAAAATGAAACATATTCTTAGGCAAGTGGAAGAACATTCGATCTGGAGGGTACCTGGAAGATGACTGTCCTCTTGTGGGACCCCCTGTCAGGTGCGCGTATTAGCGGGAGTGAGTGACTTTTTTCTTGGGATCCTGTGTCAGTTGCCTGCCATATTGGGAGGGTCGGACTACCGAAATCTGCCTGCAATATGCATGTCTGAACGCTGGTACATGGCGTGGGACAGCGGGCTTGGTCACAGCTTTCCCTTGAGTCCGGGAAACACGAGCAAGACTCACGTGTCAAAACCAGTTGCTTCACCCTTTGAATGGTTCGTCCCATAGTTCCCTCTGCATGTGGCCCCAAATTTTGGCCTCCCTATGCCCTGAAAGCCCCCTTTTGCCCCCTTCCCCCAAAGAAGCCGCAATGCAAAAGCGCACAGCGCACCGGCGCGAGCGGCGAATGCGCTTCATCCGCGGCCCGAAGTTCTCAACATTGGCTTCCCGGCCTCACAGTTCTTTGGTTTTTAATCATGGAACCTTTGGAACATGGTGGAAGGTTTTTTTATTTATTTATTTATTTTTGTTCTGGGAGGTTCTTCGGGAGTCCGGGTCAGGCGTTTTGGTGTGGGTTAGGGTGGGTTGGAGGTGGGTCTTGGGGTTGGTTTGGAGTGGGTTTGGGCGGGGTTTGCGTCGGGTTAGGGTTTACGGGTAGGTTCAAGGTAGGTTTTGGGTAGGTTCAGGGTAGGTTCAGGGTAGGTTCAGAGTAGGTTTAGGTCAGGTTTAGGGTGTGGGTTTGGGGCACGTGCTGGCCGGGCTTGGTTTGGGTTTAAACGTGGTTTAGGGTGGGTTGTTTAGGCGGGTTGGGTTGGGTTGGTTTAGGGTGGGTTTTTGGGTTGGCATAGGCTGGGATTTAGGGTGCTTGCATGCTTGCTTGCTTTCTTGCCTGCCTGCCTCTTTGCTTCCTGGCTTCCTGGCTTCCTCGCTTGCTGGCTTCCTTGCTTGCCTGCCTGCCTGCTTGCTTTCTGGCCTGCTTGCTTGAATTCCAGGGGTCCCAAAACCAAACAAACTCTCCGGGAAACAAGACCCTCAAATGACACATCACGCCATTGAAGTCACCACCTGCCTGGTGCCAAGTGGACTGTGCCCGTCTCCGTATGGTCCATGGCTATCCCTAGGAATCACATCGCGGTTAAGGATCCTTAGCAGGTAGATCACCATCTCGGAAGCAAAACCCCAAGTAACGGAACCAGTCTCTTGGACCAAAACACATATGCTAGGTCCACCAGTAGAGAGGTAAGAATAAGGGTACCCTGTTTTCTGTAGTCTATTTTAGTAGGGGAACCCTCCCCCGAAAAAGGGTACAAGGGCACTACTCAGAACCTAGCCTGTATACATTGCATTGTAATCAAGGCATATTCAAGCATTCCTTGAGAACGGATGGGGTTGCTCCGGGCCTCCGAAGGAGTTTAAAAGCTTGATATCACATTTGTAGCACTGGAAAAGCCATTTGGCGCATAAAAGGTCAACTTTGGGATGGGATGAGATGGGATGGGATGGATGTGGATGGGCGCGCCCGGGTTTGATCTTGGCCTCCCAACATTTTCCCTTAAAACATCACCCCCACCAAAAGACACTCACCTTTCACGGGCCCAAAACAGTAATGCTTTAAAAGGAACCAAAAAGATGGACATACTGTGGATGCACAAAATCCTGCACCACCTAATATACACTGGAAGGTTGATTCCCCTGCAGATATCAACAAACATGGTGTCTCATGGTTGCTTAGGTGGTGCGAAATGGATTTCGTCCATCCACAGGATTTCTCGCGAAACCTTGGTTGCTGTTGACCCCCTGCAAAAAGTTTAACTTTTTGGGGGTTTAGTGGAAAACGCCTTGATTTTCCAAAAAGTTAAAGTCTAAAGATCCAACCCAATAGCAGTCAAGAAACCCTGAAATTTGGTCTCTTGGCTCCACGAAAATTATCACCTTCTCGCGCCTTGCACGTCCGCTCCGCAGATCTTCAGCGGCTCAGACCCGAGTCTCATGGAGTTGTGCCATTGCAGGGTGAACTCCTGGCGTTCGAAGCGAAACAACATCCGAGTCCGATTGTTTAGGCCGGAAAACGTGAGAAAATCCATCTGTGTCCGGTGACAGAACCTATAACCTAGAACCTCCATCGTTCAACCTTAGACCAGGGGAAAAAATAGACCTTAACGAAGTGACCATTCAACCTTTCAACCTTAGACCCCATTCCCTGGATCAGGGGAAAACATAAACCTGTGAACGAAATGGAAGAGTTCCCCGGCTTTGTTTTGGCGCCCTCCCTCCACAGCGGCCAAATCCCCCGTCTTTTTCGCAGGCGTAGCGTGTGATGTCAACCAACGGAAAAAATAAAAATAAAAAAATAAATAAAAAAAAGTTGAGGTATCTGCCACGGACAACCCGTCTTTTCAAAAATAATACCAACAGAAAGGGTGGGAACAATTATTTTTGGAGGGGCAGACACATTCGCCAAAATGTCATTGCGAAGTATTGCAACGGCAACTCTCCGTCAAGTCTCGGAGTCCCCAGAGCCCCCCATTCGAAGGCAAAATCCGTGAGCTGTGGCTCCGTGGGGTTTTTTGAATGGGGTCTCTACGCGCAAAGACGGTCCAGCTTTGTGACATTGGAGGCTCAGGTGCCTTGGTGGCGTTGGTGCAGTATCTTGGTGTTGCTGTGGTGCCTGATGGAATTTTGGCTGTTCCCCAGTCTCCCGCTCGTGTTTTAGTGCTTTTGTTGGTGTCAGCAGTCCGGTGGTGTTTTGCGGCGTGTTTTCGTGGTGTCAGCGCAGTCCGGGAGGCCAAAGGCCTAAGGGTGTCCCTTAAGGGTGTCCTCCGGTTTTTTCCATGCAGTGGTGGAGGTCTGCGTACGAAAAGTCCCACAATGATTAGGTGGCTTGGAACCACGACTGAAAAGGGTGTCTTAAAAAAATGACCACATCCCGGTGTCTCCGTCGTGTGTTGCTGTGTCAAAGCGGCTTCTCGTCCGTGGTCCAGCGCGTTCCAGTGGTGTGCGGAGGGGGGACCTGCTGTTTTGAGTTTGTCCCGGTGTTGTCTCCAGACTTTCAACCTGTGGTCCATATCCTGGCGGTAGTTTGACCCATACCCATATTAAGATATGGTTGCCTGGGAAACCGTGGTTGTTCGGGGTTCGAACTCCAAAAACAATGGTTTTCCCGCCCCCCACCGCCCCGCACCGCCCCGCCCCTCCCCCACCCACCCACCCACCCACCCATCCACCCACCCACACGCTACCCCCACCCCACCCCAACGCCCCGTCACCGATTCGACCGCCCTGTGGCCCTGATTCCCCCCCTTGATTGGGGCACCTGATTCGGTCATATGCGAGACAACGTTCTACCGGCACATGGCCTTGATCGGGACCACTCAACTGCATGGCCCTGCTGCCTGGAAAAAAACATGATACTAAACCTCCAGGCGTGCCAACTCCTCTGTGGGTGTCCCGGGTGACTGTTAAGTGTCCCAAGATATGCCTGGGTTGCGCGCAAGCGGTTGGTGACCGTTGTCGTGTAGCGATGTCGCCCGTTGGTGTCGCTGTCCGGACCCCAGATTCATGAATCCGACCTATTCATAGGGGGTGTTCCCTCCAACAGTGGGTGAATTGGACACCCCCAATCAAAATCAGCCACGCTACCCTGGGTTCCAGAATCTTGGTCAATTTCCAGCTTGCGACCCACCCGCGTCATATTTAGCGCAGCCTGAAAACCAAGAATGTGTTCTGAGACCTGTTAATCCAAGTGGACAAAGCCTGCCACTCCAAATCCACACCTCTCTCAGTTTTTTATTTTGCACAGCCAGGTTTTCCATGTACCTCTTTTCGTCAGGTTGACCAACACATCTGAAACATCACGCATGGGCCATGGCTTTGCCACTAGGTCCTCCAATAACAAAGGTTAGACTAAGGGTGCCAACTTTTTTCAGTTTTGTTTATTTTACTAGGGAAACCGAATCTCCCAACCCAAAAAGTTAGGTGAGAGATCGGGCAAACCACCAAACCGGGTTTCTCATGTGCCTCCCACAAGAACAGGGGGTTCAAATCCCAAACGAGCGGGGGCACCTAGGCACCTAGGCTCAGCTCCTTCATCGTGGGCACATCCACCAGGTTCACAAAAGCGTAGCCAAAGGACTTGTGATACGTGAAGGTGCCAGGCAGGTAGAAGAAATCCTGAGCCCCAAATCTACACACCCAAGACCTTTCTTGATTTCAAGACACTTTGCATTGAAAACCCTCACATTTGCTTTGTTTTCAAGCACTTTGCCCTAAACACCCTCACATTTACTTTGCTTTCCAAAAAGGCCCGTTTGAAGGCAAAGGTAGGCCTCCCCTGGAAAAATACAAGTATTTCCAGTAGTGATTCCCTTTAAAACCAACGGTATTTTTTTAAACTTAACCAAATGGAAGTAGAAGGGAAACAAGACCACCTGCTCCAAATACCTGGCCCTTTGAGAGTTGGTACTTTTTGCGAAACCTGGTGTTCCGTGGAAAATGCATTTTTTTGAGTAATAACGGCGCCCGATTCATTAAAGGGTAAATGATTTTTTTTTTGATCTGAACAATTCCGGACGCGGTGACGTAGCCAACTTCTTGCCATCCCTTGTCTTCGCCCAGCGCCAGCCCCAGCACCATCACCAGCACCAGCACCAGCACCAGCACCACAAAATCTGTAATTGCCTGCCCTTGCCGAAGCGTTTCGCACGCTACGAAATCTGTACCTGACCTTGCGAAAGTGCCGCTTCTGCCACGAAATCTGCACCTGCCTTGCGAAAGTGCTGCGCCTGCCACGAAATATGTACCTGACCTTACTGTTTTCGTCTGAGTACTCTGCAAACCATATCCATCCTCCGGACTGCAGATTTCCTTAAATATCCTTTACGTAAAAGTGCTCCGCCGACAAATTTACAAGGGGGGAGTACATGGCCACCCCCAAAACCCAATGGAAATGAAAAAAGGGTACCCAGCAGCTCGAACTTTTTCCGGGCCGGAAAAACAAAAAGCTACAAAACAAATATCTAGGTCCTCCAGTAGAGAGGTTAGAATAAGGGTACCCTTTCTTCTGTAGTCTATTTTAGTAGGGGAAGCCCCAAACTAAACCAATTCTAGACAGAACGCCAGAGAGGACAGAGGACCTTCTCGGACCCAACCGAGGACCAAAGAGGCCACCGAAACCGAAGACCTAAACGAAAGGGTTTTCTTCGTGAGACCCAACTGGGTGGCCCCATGATTTTACCATCAAAGTCACCCTCGTGGTAGGGTAAAGGCAACAACCCCCCATTTCTGACTTTGATAACCCCTAACGGCGAAAATATTGACCCCTAGACTGGGCGGTTTGTTGCTTTTGGCTTCCCACCTTCGGACCCTTTGGGCGCCGTCAAGGGGATTCTTTTCAAAAAGCGATCGCCACTTCAGGGTGTTGGGTGGCTTTCGAAGATTCGGATCCCTGGAAAGAATGGAAATGGAAGGTACCCCTAGAACTAAGGCAATACTAAACCAATACTAAGCCAGCGCTACTAAGGCAGCACGAAGCAGTACCAAACAAATACTAAACAAATATGGCCGATCTGACCCCCCAATTGTTTCAGCGTGAGGCCCAGAGATTTGTTTGGGGGTAAGGCTCCCACATCAAAGGATTGACATCATACCTTAAAAAAGCGGGTATTTTGAGTAGCGGGTGCCGCCAACCATTTTGAAGGTTCCCCCTTGGGACACACCCAAATAGCTTTCGAACTAAGCAACCGGCTAAGCACTATGGGCACCTTAGCGCCAGTTGAGCAAATCTCTACGGTCAAATTGGGAGACATTTGCACAGTTTGAATGGCCCACAATCCAACCTGCGGCCCAAAATCAAACTGGCTGAAAAAGTGCAAACTGATTGAGCAATTGACAATGTGGCCAACTAATAGTTTAGCTTCCGAGCTTGCCAGGCTGTTACTATGCCAACCGATTCTGCACTGGTTTATCAACCAGTATTCCAATCGGGTTCATCCATGCCAACATGTTTGATCTACCGATTTGATGAATTAGAGGACCATTTGGTGGACACAATCAGGGGATTCATGTTCGCCAACCGGCGAGGCGGTTCCCTGCATAGCCCTTTATGAGAGCTACAAATCCAAGCTAGACAGCTGACGGCGAAGTCGCTACTCCCCATCTGCGCAAGGCAAACGACTAGACCGGGTCGTGTCTACTTCTCCAAGCGCTCTCTTTTGACCAAGCCCAGATATGGGTCTCTCCCCCATTTTTTAGGGGAACCCTCTCTTTCTTGGTTTTCAAGGGAAACCCAAAGGACAACCGCCGTTTTGGCAGGCCCCATTAAAAAGAGACACATCCATCTTGTACCCGCAACATGAAATGCAAATGGATTTGCCTCTCACCGAAGGAGCCCTGTCGAAAAAGGCCTTGAACCGAACATCTTGAAAACCTCAAATTCAGCCCTTGGCCAGAAGGCTTGCATTGGACATTGGGGCATGCCATTGATCACGTGGGTCAGCCAGCCTTACATCAAGGCGGCCTTCACAGTTCCCCCCACGAGCTCCCCCCCCCCCCCCGAATCACCACCAGCCAACCAACCCCCGCAACCCAGCAACCAACGCAGACCTCTAACTGGGATCCTTGCACTATACACCTGAACATTGCAACTTGTAAATGCTGTGTTTCAACTGGTTGCAAAATGGCTTTGGCTCAAAAAAAAGGTACTAAAATGGAACCCTGGTAAGTGGAAACATGGGTAGCAAAACCTGCGGTTTGCCCCTCCTGTCTAATTTTGAGCCAAACCCAAATGGAGATCTTTTCTAGGCTGGAATTAGGACCCCAGCAAAAAAAACAATTGTTTGCCTGGTTAGTGGAAAACAAAGGGAACCCAAAAAAGCAAAAAAGCAAAAAGGGGAGCTAATTCTGGAGATCTTTTAAGGAGCCCTGTCCAACCAACTGTTTTCAGCTAAAGCCGCGTAGCGCCCAGCGAAACCCGAGTCCACTTCCTCCAGGACCGCCGGCTGGGCCAAGTCTGCGGCGAGCACTTGGGCGCCCGGAGAACGTTTTGGAGCACTCGGATCCCGAGTGAAACAAAAATATACGGTCGACCACGCGATTTGCGTTGAAACACACACATACTGACGAGATTGAAACCTTAGAGCATTCTGTCCATGAAATGAAGTCCCACGCCGTTGGCTCTTCGCTCGGGTTTGGCACTTGGGCGCCCAGCTCCACAAAATCGATGGCGGCCCCTTTTGGCTTCGTTGCGTCGGAATCCGAAGAGAACGCTTTGGCAGAGTGACCCAATGTGTATGACGGAAATTTCCGAAAAATACAAACAAAAAGAGGCACACACCTTTCTGTTGTGCGCGGTAACAAAAACACAAACTCTCTTTCATGACAATTGCGGTTACAACATCAAATACTTGCTGCGAAACCCGGCGATTCGGAGCTCCTGGAAACCTGTTCCTATGAGCCCTCAAAGTTACTTGTTCCGTGGACATGGGCATTTAGGGCTCGTCCGCGTTTGGAAATTTAGAGCTCGTCCCCCCTTCTGGTCCCTCCCAAATAAACCACGGACTCATTTTAACCAATGCTTGCGTGGCTTTATGCTCCACCCGACCCATTTACAGGAATTGTGATGCTACTGTGGATGGGCGAAATCCATTTCGCACCACCGTTCAGAACCCTGGAATGATATTATTCCCCTCTAAATCCCAACAAACGTATGGCTTCCCATGGTTTCATTTCGTGGTGCGAACAGATTAGCAACCATTCACAGTAGCTCTTTTTGCTGTCACTTTCGCGGCTTTGCGCCGAGGAATACCGCCCCCCTGAATCGGCGGAAGCCCTCTTACGGCAGGGGCCCCTGTGAGACACGGGCAGTGCCGGACACGGATGGAAACAAATCGCAGTCACGATCTCGACATTTGGGTACCTTTTGGCACGCAAAGTCTCCCTTTTTTCGGGCACCCCGCAAGTTTTTGCGGTAGAAAGCAACACCGAAATCCATGAATTGGAGAGCCGATTCCTGAAAACACTCAAGAAGACAAAATAAAGAGGGATCACATGGTAAGAAAGGGATCACACCCAAGAAGCAACCGGCCGTCGAGAATTCGCTTCGAGACGTGCATGCCAAGGCTCGTGTGGGGAGGTTCCTGGCTGGCGCTTTCTTCAGAAAAAAAAAAGAAGAAGAAAAAAAACGCCACGTGCTGGGGCCAAAAATGGGCCTGGAGGGCGTGGAAGCACACGTGTGTGCCGCATGTCACGATGTCATAATCTCACTTCCGATTGGATTGGCTAAAACATGATCCAAACCCAAAAAGTGACTCAAGTCCAAGCACTCAGCAAGTGAGTAATTCCATGGACCACCCTCTTGGTCGTTTTGGATCGCAAACACTTTCCACAACGAGCCTCAGTTGGCCATTTGCTTCTCCGAGTCATGGTTTCCTAGCATATATATATACATATATATATATATATCAGCCTGCATTGCGTCCGCGCGCTCTTTGGGATTTGCTTATTCCTGCGAATGCTTACATTTGGGTGTGGCTCAAAATTGAAGAGCTGGGGTTGCGTAGGTGCTGGTCTTTGTTTCGATGCTAGAAGTACCCTCCCGCAAATGCCTTCTGCAACGTGGGAGGCTTGTCGTATTTCCTTCAACCTTAAAACCTGGTTGATTGTCATGTTGCACACGCTAGTAAAAACAAGCCTCGTGTGTCTCAGCTTAAGACAAAAAAACAACGTCCGAAATGGGCCTCGCGGCTTTCTTCGTGTTCAATGCTTGCAAAAGCGAGTCTGCACAAAACTGTTCTGGCTATGGATTTCAATAGGGAACCACTTAGACGCTCGAGAATGCAAACATCGATGTCTGATCCGCGCAGTCAGAATGTGCTGCGGTGTGCTGTGGCGATTTTGTGTTATTTTTCGGCATAGCTGTCAGCAATAGGGAACCAAAGTGTTTGGTGGATGCGGGTGGACATTTTGCTCCCCAACAAATTCTGATGTCCACCAAAGGGTCCCCTCATTATGTTCATGCCCATCTGAACCCCAAAATCGGCTCCGCTCCAGTTTACGTTCAAAGCCTCAAAAGGGGGTACCCTGAAAGAAAGACATACCGATCTCTCTTCAACCTGAAATCAGGGTCGCAACCGTAATCGTCTGACGCCAACACATGGTCCAGAAAGCGCGCACAAAAAAACAGTCAGAACCAACTTGCACGCGCAAACAATAGGAGCTTGAAAAGTGTGGGCAACCACAACCAAGAACTTCAACACAGGCAAATCGATCGCAAGCTCCAAGAACGGTGTCCGTGTCAACGTATAGGGCACGAACTATCACAAACCAACCAAAGCCGACTTTGTCGGGAGTCTGCCCCACAAAAACAAAAAAACTGGACACCTCAGCAAAAGCGAGCCGTGCCCGAGAACAAAAAAAAACAAGACACAGACGTGAAACAACCACGTTAACACACTAGTGACAAACTCAAACAACCTCAACACACATGTGGAAAATCACAAACACACGAAAAACGGCGCCGAAACAGCTAGGTGCTTCCGCTTGCCAGAATGCAGTATGAGCATTCAACGAAGCCAAGCCCCCGCCAATACCCGAAAGTTGGACGAAATCCGTTCGCACTATCTAAGAAACCATGGGAAACCATTGCTCGTTGGTGGGTCCCGGTGGATTCCCTTCGATTGCGCAAATGGCGCTTGCAAAGCAAAGGGAGTCTCTTTCCAAATTTGGGACCCTTACACTGTAAGGGTCCCCAATTTTGAAAGAGACTGCCATTTGGTCTGGTTTCCTTTTCGTCTTCCCTTTGCACCTTAGAGCCTTGGCCTCCAGAAATGTGAGATTCCGCTCGTTCCCCAAGGGAGCAACCGCAACTAGGTCCTCCAGTAGAGAGGATAGAATAAGGGTACCAACTTGTTTCTGTGGAAAGGGCGCTACTGAGTGACCTAGACAAGCTTGAGTTTGTTTGCATAGAACCAGTGTGATTGAGGACGGCGTTTTTCAGAAAGCGGCACGTTGAAACGGAATTAATAATTCGAAAAGCTGACGCCGATCGAGCGTGAGTTTTGTCACGTGCAAGCGGGCCTTGCGACATGCGTGAACCAAAACTCTACAACTCTTGGTATGGTAGCAAAAAACTTGGTCTTTTGCAGCCCCAGTAAAAATGAACAGAACCAAAACAACAACTAACAACAAAAAACATGCCAAGAAGAGTGCAGAAAAAACTGGGGCACCCTGCTTGATCATCAGCGTGGTAAGGCCTTCTTTTTCGAGCTCCTCGCATGCAAAGCAACAGCAATTCTCACGCTGAAATGTGAAGGCCAAATCGAAACAGAAACCTTCCATGTGCGAATTGTCCCCAGGAAAAATATGGGAAAATATGTCCGCAATGAAATCGATCCCCTTGAAAACCAACAGGGGTGATTAGAACATGCTCTTAATTTAAGTTAATGGAAAAAACCCAAATTCGGTACCCGTTCAGCGTGTTCGCACGAGGCCGGGTTCCATAGCATGTGTCTATAGCAAACACTGCAACTCACACCATGCCGAAGAGCCCGGGGGGGGGGGGGGGGCACAACGATATGTTGTGACACAATAAGATTCCATAAGCAGAGGTCCCAGGAACGCTCAAGCAAATAGAAGGCCTTCTTGAACCAGGCACGCGTATGGGGAGCCCCCCGTCGGAGAATCTGTTGGCTCGATATGGCTTCGCTCTCGTTTAGTGATGGCTGAGTTTGGATTCGGATGATACGCATAAATACAGGATGCCTATGGCAGCTGACCAGTGTTCCTGCTTCCGGAAACGCTATCTTTGCCAAAAATGGGCTTCTTTCGCAAATCTTTCGCGACGCCATCGGCACGGCCTTTTGTTTGCAGCGTGCGCTCTGGAGCCATTGTGGCTGCAGCAGTTGCGCTCGCAATCGCAGTAAACACAGTTCACTCGCACTGGCAGGCTTGCAGCAGCGTTAAGTGAAAGCCGTCACCACCATTCGCCCTTGCCACTCGCGCTTTCCAGGGATGTGTTTCGGCTTGCACCATTCCCAGCACAGGCAGGGAATCAAGGATGCAAGTAAAGGTGCTGCGGGTCTCCCTGTCTACAAGTGAGTGGGGCCTGCAAATGTGCAAGTACTCGGCATGCATCCAAAAACCCAACGCGGAATCTCTTGCGAAACAACGGAAGTGTCATTCGCGAGCTCCATCGTCGATCTTTCGCGGAGGGATTTAACAAACACCGATGGTCAGCGAATACACAACTCCTTGCAAGGACCTTTTGACCAACCATCATAAGGGTGTGTGTGTGTGTGTATTGTTGTGTTTGTCTTTAAAGGGAAGTTCTGCTTAGTTGGCCTTGGGAACCAAGAGACGAACACACATTCTTGAGTGCAACAAGACAAACCGCCCATGTACCTTCTACCAGGGTTTGATTGCGCGGAGCGATTGTGGCCCCAGTGGATTTGAAGGCGCAGCCAGCCGGATCATTGGGACCAGGGTCAACTAGATCCTCCAGATTTGAGAGGTTGGAATAAGGGTACCATTTTTTTTGTGAGGGCTAGATCCTCCAGAGTTGAGAGGTTGGACTAAGTTGGTACCCGATTTTTTTATTCAGACTGACACTTGACAGAACCTGCAATGACGGCCAGCCCATCCTCCGCAAGGGTTTTGGCCGATTGCTCCGCAAGGGTTTTGCCCGATTGGTCGGCAGCTCCTCCGCGAAAGAGGTGTCATGCGTAAAACTCAGGAAGCAACAAGTGGAGGGGACAAGCAGCAGCCAGCAAGTGAGGCCCACAATCAAGGATCTTCGGAAAGCTAGAGATGCACTAGGCCTAAGAGAAATCGTCTTACTGCAAACGATAAGCACCACGGGAAGCAAAGTCAAGTGCTCCAACCAGAAGCCATTTCGGGCTGGCTGTTCACCACTAAACAAAACCAATGAAGTACCAAAGCAAAGCAACCAAGCAAACATCCAAACAAACTGCTCGAAATACCACCCTGGAGTGGTGCAAGAGAACTGCAGCAAGCAATACGGATTTGTCTCAAGAATATCCCTAAAGTGGTGAGTCTCCTCTTCCCTTTAAAGCCAAAAGGCGACTTCTGAGCAAAAAAGAAACCTTTGAGGCTAAAAGGATTTTTTCAGAAGTGGTCGGAGTCCCCACCCAAAGGAAGGGGCCTGCTGCAATTCACACCCGTAAGAAAAACAAAACCTGAGATCACACACAAACACTTGGTTGCTGTTGACCCCCTGCAAAAAGTTTAACTTTCTGGGGGTTTAGTGGAAAACGCCTTGATTTCAACCAAAAAGTTAAAGTCTAAAGATCCGTTACCCAATAGCAGCCAAGAACGTCTCGGTGTGGCTTCTTTCAGGACACCTTTAAATCAAAGGACACCAAGAAAATTTGAAATTCCCTCTAATTTGACTAATATACTTATAATAATATACAGAGAAACGCAAACAGTGGAATAGAACGTCTCTCAAAAAGGCTGCCGGGAAGAAACACGTGAAGCCAGTGAAAGATGTGTTTTGCAATTCACATAGATACACACGTAAATGTCCCGAGCATGTTGCGGCTGCTCAGCTTGCTTTGAAGAACCGCAAGCATTAGTGTTCTTGAACAAACTACAACTTGAGTGCTAAATATATCTTGCTTGTAAGAATATCAAGAAATCATTCAAAGGGTACGTCACGATACCATGGGCGAGCACCACAACTGATGCTTGGCACGATTTATCAGAAGGGACATTGGTTCCTCCCGAAACGGAACCAAGCATGACTTGGCTTAGCAATTCCGAGTAAGACTGGACATCGCCAGCCATCCTGAGAGACCTTCTCTTGCTCATGTCGGGTGACTCCGAGCAAAGCCCGTTGTCCAACTCTATGAAAAAACTGTATATCGATGGATCCATGTTTGGATCTATGTCTTGTATTGGGCATGTGTACCTAACGTGAAAAAGGTACTCTCAAAAAACAAACACACACACACACACCCACACACACACTCACACACACACACACCCACCCACCCACCCACCCACACACACACACCCACACACGCACGCACGCACGCACGCACACACGCACGCACGCAGGCACGCAGGCAGGCACGCAGGCAGGCACGCAGGCACGCAGGCACGCAGGCACGCACGCCACGCGCGCACACACTCGTGCGCGCGCACGCCATGTTGCAGCCCGGCAGGTTCTTCTCCGATGCTTTGAGGCACCTTGCAAATGAGTGGTATGCCATGTGCCGCAGCCCGCATATCGCTAAGCAATCTGAACTGGAATGCACTCACTGGAAAGCCGGCTATGAAAATGAAGCAGCAGGCGCGACATATTAGGCCCAACAACATAAGCCCATATGGTATCCCCAACAGCCCCGCAATCCCCTGGAACCCTCCCTGACAGCTGCTCCGAAGCACTCCAAAGCTTCCATTTGCGAAGCCTGGCAAAAACACATGAATGATTATCTTGCCAGTGAAATCGACATCCTTTAAACCCAACCAGGAAAAAAGAAACAACTATTTCAGCGAATGGAAGGTTCCGACCCGAGGGCATTTTGTTCTCGAACAACCGCAACCTCGCCTCGAAACTGGCAAAGCGGAGGAGCTTTACCTGAGCAAGTCATCACTTCCGTTTGCGGATACGCCCCCGGGAAAAAATACAACATATTTCCAACGGTGAAATCGATTCCCTTAAAACCAACAGGGCAAAAAAACACATTTCAGCAAATGGAAGACCAGTTTCGTGGCTAAGGGCATCCTAAAAGGACAAAAACACGCAACAGTTGTGTCTGTTTTGGAGTTACCCCGAAGATGGGGTGGGATCCAAAGAAAAGAATGCAAAAAAAAAGAATGCAAACACAATGCGGGTCTGTTTTTCGAGTTGGTACCCTCTTGCTGGTGCGAGACATGCCCGGGGAACGAGAAAATGGAATGACCGGGAGATAAGCCATCCAACTGCTTGTTTCCTTGAGGACCAAAACCTCAGCAAGCCTTTTGGGCTTCCCCCCTGGGATCTTGCCAAAGGCTTGGCCTCTTTGAATATGGGTGGCAGGTCTTTTCTTCTTTGAGTTGGTGACTTCTGGCTTTAAAGGAAACCAAGAGGCCAACAGTTCAAAGGGGTCTCCAACAATAGACACGCCCCAATTGTTCGGTAAAAAGCGCGAGATCTGGCGCTGTCGCACTTCCGATCGCTAGTGGATTGGCCAGAAAAGGTCTACCTGCTTTGGGCACTCACCTGGGCGTGCCCGGTTTTTGGAGCTGGATTTGCCCGAAGATGTTTCTGGAACTTGTTTACCACGAACTGGTCTTCCCAAAAAATGACTGAATCCCAAGAACTCAGAGAGAGAGAGAGGTCGATTAAGAGATATTAAGAGGGTGTTTGTTTATTGCATGGTCACCTGTCAACTGCGATCAGCCAATGGACCGCGTGCAGGTTTTAGAAGCATACCCTCGCGCGACCGAGTGGCTGCGCACATGCCAAATCAAATTGATTCAGAACATGTGCCCACAAGTGTGACTGCCTGGCTGGACACTTGCCAAGCCACATACAACCTACCACGAGAACGACGCTCTTCTGCTACATATTACATGCAAGACTAAGCGACATGCATCACAGAGTCGTCGGGTCGGGTCCACGGAATAGCTCTAGGTAGGGTGAAACGGGGTGGAGGTTGCGGCAAGATTGCTCTGTTTGAAACTGCAATTCGATTGATTCAGAGTAGTACATCACGGCTGAACGACGCGGGTCTGTCCCCTCAAATCCCCCGAATGCCAAGAACTGAGCTGGCTGGGCGCTTTTTCACTTGTGACAGGAAGCGTGCGACGACAACTTTCCACGACAACAGGAAGGATCAAGGCCATCCAGGACACAGAAGTGGGTATGGGTCAAAATTAAACCAACAGGGGACCACAGGTTTTAGTCATGTTTCCATTTACCAGGGTGCCATTTAGGGTACCTATTTTTGACGTCTAGACTTCTGCTGACGGAGACTTCTAAGCAACACTTCTGCATGAGCGATGCTTCTGGTTGACACTTCTGAGCCACACTTCTGAGAAAGGTCGCTTGACACGTCTCTTGTCTCAAAACGCGCACCGCGCCACAGCAAGAGCCATTCGACCCGCCCAAAGTGCGCAGAGGGTTCACTTTCCATTTTCGACAACGCGTGCGCCGAGAGCGATTCGACCCGCCCAAAGTGCGCTGAGGGTTCACTTTGCATTTTCAAAGTGTGTGCCGCACCACAGCGAGAGCGATTCGACCCACCCAAAGTGCGCAGAGGGCCCACTTTGCATTTTCAATATGTGCACCGCGCCACAGCGAGAGCGATTCGACCCACCCAAAGTGCTGCGCCTGCCACGACATTGGCACGCAAGCTCGAAAGCACTCCGCCTGCCACGAAATCTGCACAAAACGCTCTAAAGTGCTGCGCCTGCCATGAAATCTGCACGAAGTTCTAAAGTGCTGCGCCTGTCACGGAAAATCAAGCGCGGGACCGTAGCGCCAGAATGATTTCGACCGATTTCTTGCAAATCTGCAGTCGTGAAAACGAGCCGATTGTACGACAGGGCCAACGAAAACGACACTCCAGCAAACGCTTGCGCGAACATTCCAAGCAAAACACCTCAAAACGACGACCCCTGAAACGCGAATCCCACTGCATTTGCAACGCAAAAATGAAGCCTCACGAAACACTGCGCCTGCGCAGCGAAACGACATGTCGAGCTTGAGAAGCTACGATTCGCGCACAGGACGGTTGCGCAACATCCGCCGAACAAGTCTCAAAGCACGACCTCGCTGGATGATATGTTTGACCCAAACGGAACCTCCATGAAGTCCCAAGTGGTCTTGAAAAAAAACCCAAGGCTCTGCATTTGTTGCCTGAAGGTGGGAGAAAAACGGGATTTCTAATTCGTAGCACAGGTGTCCTTTTAGGGCAAATAGATGGCCCTGGTAGAAAACCACTGAGTAAACCAGGGCCATCTATTTTTCTACCAAAACAACCAAAAAGGACACCTGAAAAAGCTTGACACCCTCTCCAACCCCGGGCAATGGCTATGGCTCCACGCCAGTCCACACCCCGAAATTGGCGCTGATTGGCTGCTCCTGATCATTTTTCGGGAAAGTGTTTTGTTTTTCGGGCGCTGGCAAATGTGGTTGCCCGTCCCCTTAAAGGAAACCACCGTCATTCCAATTCTCATTCCCTGCTGAGCACCAGCTAGAAATCGCAAGGGGGCTGGTCCAAGGGGGGGTTTTCTAAGGAATGCTGCGGAAGCCTATACCCACCCCGCTTGTACGTAATCTCAGGGATTCCATAATGTACGGGTCCTGGGCCCGACATGGTGGACACTAGACGTTCGCGTCACATTTTTTTGTCAAGAACCTCCAGCCGTCGGGCCCTGCTGTTAACCCAAACATAGCTCTGGAAAGTATCCCTTTTTGTGACACCGCAACAGTGCCACTTGCCCAAATGAGGGAGGAAATAGAAGCTTCAGCTTTTGTGACCTTGAATGAATATGGAACAAAACACGAGGTGAAAAGGTCGCCTTTGCCCCTGACTACATCATCACTCAATGTGCATTCGTTTGGTACCCTAAACCCCAATTTTCGCAACCATGAACCCAACTCAGTAAGTCCCTACTTTCGCCTTTCACCCCCGCATTTTTGTTCACTTCGTAACCCAAAAAACGCGGTGGCCCAGTCCTCTGTGATCTGTCACTTGGGTGTGTTTTGAGGGCACCCGTCTCAGTTTCGGGAAACCCAAAGGATGACTCACACTTCCCGAGCCAAAATCAACCACAATTTGACACATGGCTGTGGCTCAAAACCATGCACAAAATGGCACCTTAGCAAATGGAACATGATGACTAAAACCTGCGTCACTCTATCTTTTTAGGTTGGAGCCACACACACACACACCTATACCAGGTGCTGTGTTATAACCTAAGCTAAAGCTTGCAAGCCCTTCCTTCTCAGCCTCTCCATATGGCAAGGGAACAACCCCTTCACTTACTGTACATTCCTATGACCTTTGAGATTGGCCACAGGCTCCTTTGGAACAGGCCCGCGAAGGCGTGCTTTCATCCGCTGTGCCAGAACAGAGAGCAGCTGGGCTTGCACCTCGCGCTTCAAGCTTTGGATTTGGATTTGGAAACCCCATCCAGCCTCCCCAACCAAAACACCGGGCTCCAAACCAAATAGAAAGTAGATCTTGAAGATTTTGCAAAACCTTCTAGCCAGCTTCAAGGTGAAGACTCCTTTACTGACAATGATTACCCTCCCTCCAACAATCATGGAATCTGAAGACTGGAGGCTTTTGGAAGACTTCCATGAGCATGTTGGAAAGAGGGTATAATTTCCTTTCGGACATTGGGATTTGGGAACTAACATTGGGGTTGGACTGGGCGCCCTGAAGCCGTTGGCCTACTTTCAGCCCCCCAGTCAACAGCGATCAACGTGGCCCTGAAAAAAGACACGACCCTCTTTGGCGCGAAAAAGACACACAAAGAGAGGTTCCTGAATTGTAGACCCCAAGAGCAACGGATGACATGGCTTTGTCTCATGATAGGATGTCCGTTTAATTGGCTTCCCTGCACATACCGACAAAGAATTTATGGGCTTGTCTCAAAGTGGGGTTTGATTGCCCAACTGGCTTTCCTTTTGAACCAACTCCCAGAAAGGGGCTTATGAAGAAAGAAGCGAGAAACACTCACATGCTGGGCGCGCCGTGCTCGGCCTTGTCGCCCAGGGGCGGCAAGGGAGTGTCCAGCAAGGAAATACCCACCTCACCTGGCGAGCAACCAAATTCTCGGTCGTCAACGCGCCTTGATGCCTCCCTGTTAGTTTGGGGATTTGAGCCTCTTGGTATTTTGGATCCCGGTAGGATGTCAGAGAGTGGGAAGCCCCTGTCAGGTTCAGACCGAGCCGCCAATCCAAACCACCGGCCAATATCCCGTACCCGCGGTGAACATGCCATTGATCAGGTCTTCAATCTCCACCACAAATCGTTGAGCCGCGTGGCCAAAAATCCCTGCTCCACCTGCCTCCAGTCCGTCTGAAGCTCCCAATATCTCGCATCGCCAGCATGCCTTGCATCATCCTTATCATCGGGATGATGCTGGCAATGCTGGCGGTGCTGTCCAGTACCAGGCGCCCCCAAAGCCAAAAAAAACACTTTTTTTTTGACTGCACGGGGAGATGCCACAAAACTCCTCGCCTAAACAAGTCCGCAAATGTTCGCCTCTTATTAGGGCGGGCGCAGCGCAAAACGTATGCGCATGGTCGGCGCATGGTTGGCGCATGGTCGGCGGCATGGCGCAGACAGCCTTTTGCCTGAAGGTAGGCCTTCGGCCCGGTCACGTCCGGTGGCCGGATTTTGCACGCTGATCCCTTTCACCTCTTCGAGATCTTCAACACCCATTCCCCCCCCTTCACTACGTCACGTGGACCAAATCCCTGCTCCAGCTGCGGGCAAGTCCCTGCACTTTGGCCGAATACAAAGGTATCCAAAGCGTGTGAAGAACGCTTAATAACTTCGAAACTCCACATGAAGCGTAAGGCCCGCCAAGCAAAAAGCGTTCCTAAAATTGCATATGCAAAAGGGGGCGTGGGCCTCTCGTTTGGCGCCTCCATTTTGCACAAAATTCCAATGGTATATTTCAAGGGACACCTCTCAACAAGATCTTGGCGCAAATATCCCGCTCACTTTCTTGGTCCTCACTTTTTGGGCCCTGCCCTGCTGGCTGTTTCCACTATTGCTGGCCTGACGTTCGGGGTCCCTTTAAAAGGAACAGTGTCGAAACCGTCGAAGGGTTCCATGTTGGTGGAGAATTTACCATGGAAAGCACACATGCTTTTTCCCAAATCTCCCCCAAAAGCTGGGCCTTATCTTGGTTGACGTTGAAAGGGGAGCAAAATTCATTTTTTAGCAGTTGAGTGGGGATTTCAACCACTAAACCACAATAAGCAAATATGTAAAATGTTTCCCAACAACCATGTTATGGGGTTTTAAAAGGAACGAGAGGGCTTCCGGCCTTCTAGAGGCACCCAGAAGCAGAAGGAGTTGGAATAAAAGTAGGCCAGGTTGATCACGGCCTTGATGAGAGCTGCTCCTTGGCTTCCGAGCGAAGTCATTTTTTTTGGGCCACTCTCCTTGGTTGCTTTCTGCCCTGCAAAAAGTTGAAGACTTCTTGGGGGTTTAGTGGAAAGCGCAACTTGATTCTCCAAAAACTTAAAGTCTAAAGGTCCAACCCAATAGCAGTCAAGCCTCCTGCAAAAGAGTTGCTCGAAAAAGAATATCGAAGCCTGGTATGAATCAGCCCCTCAATTTTCGGTTCTGCCAACAGCGGGTTTTTGGGTTGAGACTCACCGGAAGGAATTGCAGCTGTTCAAGGGAATTCTGACTATGGAGTATCTAAGGGACTCAAAAAGCTCCCGGAGACTCCCTACAAAACCTATTTCATTTGTATTTTATTCTTTTAAAAGAAAGAAAAAAATGAAAAACATATTTAAAATAGAAATTGTATTTTATTCTTTTAAAAGAAAGAAAAAATGAAAAACCTATTTTGAATAGAAATTGTATTTTATTCTTCTAAAAGAAAGAAAAAATGATAAACCTATTTTAAATAGAAATTGTCTTTTATTCTTTTAAAAGAAAAAACATGAAAAACATATTTTAAATAGAAATTGTATTATATTCTTTTAAAAGAAAGAAAAAATGAAAAACCTATTTTAAATAGAAATTGTATTTTATTCTTTTAAAAGAAAGAAAAAATGAAACACCTATTTTAAATAGAAACTGTATTTTATTCTTTTAAAAGAAAGAAAAAAATGAAAAACATATTTAAAATAGAAATTGTATTTTATTCTTTTAAAAGAAAGAAAAAATGAAAAACCCATTTTGAATAGAAATTGTATTTTATTCTTCTAAAAGAAAGAAAAATGAAAAACCTATCTTAAATAGAAATTGGCTTTTACTCTTTTAAAAGAAAAAATGAAAAACATATTTTAAATAGAAATTGACTTTTATTCTTTTAAAAGAAAGAAAAAATGAAAAACCTATTTTAAATAGAAATTGAATTTTATTCTTAAAAGAAAGAAAAAATGAAAAACCTATTTTAAATAGAAATTGTATTTTATTCTTTTAAAAGAAAGAAAAAATGAAAAACATATTTTAAATAGAAATTGTCTTTTATTCTTTTCAAAAGACAGAAAAAATGAAAAACCTATTTTAAATAGAGATTGACTTTTATTCTTTTAAAAGAAAGAAAAAATGAAAAACCAATTTTAAATAGAAATTGTCTTTTATTCTTTTCAAAAGACAGAAAAAATGAAAAACCTATTTTAAATAGAAACTGTCTTTTATTCTTTTAAAAGAAAGGAACAAATGAAAAACCTATTTAAAATAGAAATTGTGTTTCATTCTTCTAATCGAAAGAAAAAATGAAAAACCTATTTTGAATAGAAATTGTGTTTTAGTCTTTTAAAAGAATGAAAAAATGAAAAACCTATTTTAAATAGAAATTGTCTTTTATTCTTTTAAAAGAAAGAAAAAATGAAAAACCTATTTTAAATAGAAATTGTATTTTATTCTTTTAAAAGAAAGAAAAAATGAAAAAACATATTTTAAATAGAAATTGTATTTTATTCTTGTAAAAGAAAGAAAAAATGAAAAACCTATTTTAAATAGAAATTGTATTTTATTCTTTTAAAAGAAAGAAAAAATGAAACACCTATTTTAAATAGAAACTGTATTTTATTCTTTTAAAAGAAAGAAAAAATGAAAAACATATTTAAAATAGAAATTGTATTTTATTCTTTTAAAAGAAAGAAACAATGAAAAACCTATTTTAAATAGAAATTGTATTTTATTCTTCTAAAAGAAAGAAAAAATGAAAAACCTATCTTAAAATAGAAATTGTGTTTCATTCTTCTAAAGAAAAAATGAAAAACATATTTTAAATAGAAATTGACTTTTATTCTTTTAAAAGAGAGAAAAAATGAAAAACCTATTTTAAATAGAAATTGTCTTTTATTCTTTTAAAAGAAGGAAAACAAAAAATCAACTAGAACACCCCTAGAAACCCAAGCGACGGCTCTCAACGCCCCCACCCCCCAATGGTACCCGGATGAGTCTCCCGAGAGGCAAGGACTGAGCTCCTGAAACCCCCACTTAGGCACGGGTCGAAATCAGCCGCTGAGCATAAGGTGCCCTTTTGGAAGAAAAAAACGATGGGTGTCCCTGGTAAATGAAAAAAAAAGCCAAATCTAAAGTGGAACCCAGCTGTTTCTAACCAAACGAAAACAAAAAGGACATGTGTGGTTAAGAGCTCTTGCGGCAAAGTCTCTCATGCCCAGCCGCCGCAGAGCCGCGCTGATAGCGCTGATGCTGGCTCGCTTGCCGCCCCGTGTCCTTGGATTCCGCGCGCTTAGACTCCAAAAAATGCTTGCCAGAGCGTTGCAGCTTGAAAAGTGTCTCTGACATACTGTGGATGGACAAAATCCTGCACCACCTAAGAAAGCCTGGAATGATGATGCCCCTGTAAATGCCAACGAACACTTGGGTCCCACGATTGCCAAGTGGTGCAGGATTTCGTCCATCCACAGTAGGTCTCCTTGTAGGTTGCAAATAGATGGATATCCCTGGCGGATGATTCAACCACCAGGAACACCAGGGATCGGAACCCATCTATGTTTCGACCAAAAGAACCAAAAAGGACACCTATGGTCTCTGATCTTGACTTAGCTTGGTTTCAAAGTAGCCCGCACACCCATTCCAGTCCTTTCGAAAAGCCCATCCGTTTCGGTCTGGAAGCTCAAGACGATTCCACTAGCTGCAAACCGGCCGAGGTCTCCAGGTCCAAAGGCGCCGGTTTGTGCACATGCGATGGCGCCTACGGGGTGCATTCCCAGTATCGAAATCAAGGGGCTGGGCCTCAAGCCCAACATCCAGAGACACGTTGCAGGCCTCAGGCTTCCCACGTCCTTCAACATCACCCCCAATGGGAAACTCACTTTACATATTTGTCCAAATATATCTTAGTGCTTAATCTATAATGGCCGAAGGGAACCCTGTTTCAAAACCGGCGGTTGTTCGGGCTTGTGGGACACGTTTCGCCTTGCCAAACAGCCGTCTCAAACATGCCCTTCCTTTCCTTTCCATACCTGGCTTTTCCACTTGGATGCTCGAACTAACCCAAGTTGCCCCACATATCACATACCCCGTGGCTGCCGGGGTAAAAAGGGTTTAACTCCTTCGCGGTTGAAGACACAGACGTGGCCCATTCAAGTCAAACGCAACAGTTCTCAACACGCACGCAAGGTGTTTGCCTTCTCTTCAAGACGCAAAAAAACAAGTTCCACCTCCAAGCCCAGTTGTTTTTTCTTTTTTGGCATAGAAGGGGTGTACACATCGCCCCCGGGGTGGCAAAAAACAAAGAAACAAGGAGGCAAAAACCACAGATCTGCGCCCGCGCGACAGGCGAGGGATCAGCTGCTTCACGTGGCACGCCAGCAAGGGCATTTCCGTGAGGTTGCTAAATTGCGTGAGGTTTTTGGGCTGGGCATGATGTAAATGAAGCGCTCTGGACAAGCCTTTGCATTCATTGAACACGCTTTGAAAAACAGAAAATGGGGCCAACAGTGGGCGTATTCTTATGACAGGCCCAGTGTAGCATGACAGGCTAGTTTGTCGTCCTAAAGGCGAACAAATGCAGCAAGGTGCGCAAGTCGAACGTCTTTGGCCGGCAAATGTTCATGCCTGCAGAACTCAGAGTTCAATCGGCAAAGAACAGGTTTGCCAGGGTGTGAAAATCAATAATTACTGCGAGGGTCAAAACCATGACAAAACATTCGTGTCTGACGGATTGCGAGTAGCAGCTACCCGCACGCCCTTTCCTGCACGCAGTCGAACTCGCAGGAAACAACATGTGCATTTGAAAATAGTTGTGCGACCTTTAAAATTTGTTTGGCTGTAAACCAAGAGAAAAAGGGAAACAATACTGCCTTGCGCTGTTAACATGCAGCACAGCATGAGCATGTCAAAGGGATACACTCAACTGCAACGCAAAACAAAAAATGACCTGCAAAAGTTCAACACCTCAGAATGAAATATCCGTTTTTTTTCAGGGACCCTGCCACAAAGCACTGGAAGCCCACGGATGAAGACAGGATTCCATCCCGGTGTTTGTGGCCGAAGGCGCCCAGCAGGTTGGTAAATTGACAAAGGCAAATATTCGGTGCACACTTCTAAGCTGAGCCAATGCCATCGCACACAAACACACACACGCACACACACACACAAGCTGCGTACTTCTAGGAGGCAACCTACATTAAAAGCAAGCTGCGCGTGAGGATGTGCGATTGCATGACCAACAACATGCAGCGACAAACTTTTCCACTACCAGCCCACCCTCCAACACAGAAACATACAAACAGAAGTACTCCTCATGGGTGCACGCGCGTGTGTGACAGATATATGGCACCCATCTGTCACAGAAAAGAGTGCAGGAGAGTGGCTGAAACTGCCAACAGGTCCCAACCAAAAAGCACACACGATTCTGCGTAACCAGGTTTTGGGGGGTTCAAAAGCTATCAGGCGCCTAATTATGTTTATTCATGCAGCACAAGCAGTGCGAGCGAGCGTGGCAGAAACCAGCCCATCATTCGAGTGGGTCATCAGGCAAGAATAAGACGCACTTCCACTACAGATGATACGACACGCTTCCATTATAGATGAAGCCAGAGACAAAGCGACGTGCACGTATCAGAAGCAAACGCACCCCGACAACAAATTGAACGGACTTCCGCCGCATTGACAGCGTTGCAAGTTCGAACAGGTAAGCTCTATACAAATGACAGCATTCAGAAAACACCCCTGCGTCGCGCAAAGCTGCATGGTAAAGGCAACACTTTGAGCAGGGCAACTTGAACGGAGAGGCTTCCTGAACAAACAAAGGGCACCTGTGCCACGCAGTTCCTGGGAGTCATAGCAACATCCACGCGCTATTCCGTCCAATGAAGGGCACTGCCTGTACAAGATAAAGACGTCGGGAAACGCAGAAGCGCGGAAGCAACGCAAACAGTTCCATGAGTTGAGTTTTTATGTGAAATACGTTGCCTGGGGGCAATATGGTTATGGTTGATACTGGGAAACTCTGACACATACATCAATGCACAGCGCTGGTCAAAATTTGCGTACTGCAACTGAGACATTTGCCAATACATGTCAAGGACGGTTGCCCCAATCATTTGTTCTACATGCTGGTGTGCAGCAATAGCAACACACACACATGCACATGAATTAACTGTCGCGTTCAGCTTACGTGCAGTGCGTGCATTTGGCCTGGCATTCTTCGCCCAGTGTGAATGCGCCGCGTAAGCCACCTCTGAACAAACAATCGCTGGAAGAAAATATACACATGTTTCCCATGAACTAAAAGAACCAACACGGCACTTCCAAACAATCTACGCATACTTGTACGTAATGAACGCACACACATGCGCAACCGCAAAATTGGCTGCAAAATTGGATCAGACCTGATCAAGCGAGGCAACAATGAGGCCTTTGCTATTGGAAAATATTGTTGGCATTTACTCAAGCGCTGGCTGGGGTGGGGTGACGCCTGATAACCCTGCAAAGTCCCAGAGAACAACCGCAAATAAAGACATTTCTTGGATAGGTCCTCGTGACAAAACCCGCATAAGTACACGACAAAACCCATGGAGTTGGAACTAAGAAACCCGGCTGAACCGCTTGGTAAAGCGCAAATGCTTACATGTGGAACACATATGTCGCAGAACAGCAAGTCATAGACAATTTCGAAAGTGCTCAGCGGTTGCAACTAAAATCCAAAGGCACGATTGTGTTTTTAATCACGCACATAAACTCATCTACAATGCTACAAGGTATGGTTTGTTCGAACTAACATGATGATGCCTGAGCCTGACGGGCTGACAGGTCTGTCGGGTTGATCGATTTGAATGATGCACGTTGGAATAGTACAGCATCAGTACATTTAATGAATGATGCAATAAGAATTCAAGGGAAAACCGCAGTCCTGGACCATCCAAAGCACTATATGCCTTCCACGCGCAAAGCGTATAGACTGAACGTCCCTATTTCGACAGCCTGCTAGGAATGCAAGACTTCATCCATGGATTTCGGCAATTGCCCGGTGAAGCATGCTCGAATGAACAGCATGGACCCACATGAAAGCAACACTGGCATCCATGCAAAGAAATAAGCCTTGGAGCTGTCTTGCGAAATACTGTAACAGTGGGGCCATTGGGCTTAGTTTGAAGGACGTAGCCAAAGCCAAGGCCTGATAAGGCCTGCCCATGTGGGCCTGAATTTTGCACGTGCTCGCTGGTTTGCCGAAACCGGGGTCAGGGGTTCTTGCGAGTAAAGGTGACTGCTATGAAATGACATCTAGCCTAGCAAAAGCAATCTCACAAGGGCGCAAAGTGTTGGTGACAACCGTCGGGCGTGGAGTCGAACCACCACACTTTACCGAATGTCGCGATGATGGCATGTAGCAGTGCGTATCTTGCACACACCTCGGCATCGCCTCACCCATAGGGCAACTGGATCATTTAGCTCAATCTTAGATCAGTGTGTGTAAGTGGTGTGCCTGAGAGGACTTGAACCACCCTCTCTACCATAAGTTTAGTCATAAAATTATGGCTCCAGACTCCAGACCCTCCCCTTGTGCTTTTGGCCCCCTTTTTCCAACCTCAGTCAGAGTTCGGTCGGAGTTCGGTCCTGGCACCTTGTTTCGTTTTTCCAGTGTATTGCATATTGTTGTAATGGCCGTCGCGTTGCAACTTTGTTGACACACACAAATACATCCCAGAGTTTGGGCGGAAGCACAGCTTCTTTGTTTCCAACCGAATTGCATTTTGGATTGACATGCACCGTTGTTCCTAGTTTTGTGCGACCGAATTCCCTGTTTTCGGCAAATTCACATTGTTTGTGTTTTGTCGGCTGAATTATTCTTTGTTCGCCCAAATGCGCATTTGTCAGATTAGCTCAGCCAAATTTCACTTTGTGCCAAAATGCACTTGTTTCAGGCTTGTTGCGCTGAGGTCCATCTTCAGTTTGTGAACCAGATGTCACTTTGTGTGCTCAAATTCGCTGAAATCGCACATGTTCATATGAGATTGTTCAAAGCACAGGCAAACAGCAGGCCAGCAAAAGTAATTGAATAATGCACCCGGGAGTGAAGGTGACTTTTTCTAGAACAGTCAGAGTTTTGGTAGCCCTGGACCGACCCCCCTGTTGCCCAGCTTGCACTATTTTGGCAAGTTCAGCGGGAGTTCGGTCGGAAATTGTCGCGCCGATTTCCATGTTGTTTGCTGGATACTAGAAACGTCCATTTGCAAAAACATTTGTTACAAGTCAGTCAGCTCGAG